GCAGGTGTTCACCGAGTTTCAGGACAACCCAGCATCGGAGCAGCACGTGACAGCTGTCGAAAGTTACTGTTCCGTAGTCATGGTGCACTGTTGGCAGCATTTCCCTTGCCACCCTTTCATTGTTGTCATGCCAATGGTGCAGGGACAGAGAACGAGACAAAAAGTACAGGCGGTCGAGTGGGACTCTACCACCCTCCTTTTGAGAAGTGTGGTCTTCCTGGAAGCAGCTTGCAAGAGGGTGCAAGTGGGAAGACAAGCTGACTCATGGTTGGCTTGACTCACTATTGGTAGCCTTGAGTACAGCTCTGAACATCCAAGTGTGGTTGGCTTTGCTGACCTAGCTAGGACGTTTCCCATCCTTCTCTACCCTTTCTTCCCTAGGACTCAACCTTCTCTGAGTTCCCAGGATGGTCCCAACCGCTTAAGAGTCCCCTAGGCAATGTTGTACTTACCTCTTCCTTGCATCAATGAAACTACACGTTTTTCAGCCGAGCTTATGTCTTCGTTCACTGCGTAGCGCATACACCTCAGATGAAAGCAAGCAATACACCGTTGGAAAGCACACACTTGAAGCTAAATTTCCTCCAAGTTTCAGCCTCGTATGTTATTGGAGCTGATCGTGACGGCGTTTTGAACAGAGGCGGTTCGAAGTCATCAGATTCTGCTTAGGCAGTTTCAAGGGCATCCGCGACCCCTAAGTGGACTCTAGACTATAACATACAGACCCGACCTAGGCTGACGAGTGAACGTAGCAAGGTGACGGCCAGTCCGTGAGCACTTACAGATCGCCACACGCTTTCCTCCAGGAATGAAGGTGTCAACCCATTCATCCTTGAGAACTGCGTTGCTCAACAAGTTCGTCGAGAACGCGGGGAGGTGGAGACCTGAGAGAGACCCGGAGGGGACTGCGGGACACGGGAGGACAGTGGTGTCAGAATGTTATATTTGTCTAGCCTGCAGTGGGGTACTCAATAGTGAGTACAGCCCAATCTAGGGTTTCCTATATGTACTCAACTGCCTGCTAGTGCAAACCCTCTTTCTCGTTTCTAACTTTCAACTGCTGTTTCCAACATGGAATCAGAGCAGGTCGACCTTCACGGGTCGATCCTGTGGATGGGCCCACCCAATACTTCCGCTGCTGCTACTCTGTCTATCGCGCGCCTCGGGCGTGCGCTGCCTGCTTGCCTGCCGCGCGCCCATGGCGCGCGGCCATTTTTCTTCCCGCCGCGCGCTCGAGGCGCGCGGCGGTTTTCTGACCGTCGCGCCGCCCTGGGGGCCGCGCGACGCCCTACTCTGCCCGTCGTGCGCCCCGTGGCGCGCGGCGGTGCCCTGCCCGTCGCGCGCCCCGGGGCGCACGGCGGTTTCGTCGCCCGGGGGGCTCGTGCGCGGCCCCCCTCGTCGCCCGCCGCGGCGCCAACGGGAGCCCGCGCGGCCCCCATTCCCGTCGCCCGTCGCGGCGCCCTGGGGGGCGCCGCGCGCGCCCCCCCCCCCCCCGGGTCGCCTCGACAGGCGACGGGAGGGGCGACAGAAGGGGGCCGCGCGTCGGCCCCTCCCGTCTTCGTCGCGGCCCTGCCCGGCCCTGCCGTCCTACCCTGGCCCTGCCCGGCCCTGCCCTGCCCGTCCCTGCCCCTATCTTCGTCACGGCCCTGCCCATCTGCCGCCCCTGCTGCGGCCCTACCCTGTGTTGGGGTTTGGGGGTGGCGGGTATGGGGTGACGGATGTGTGCGGTCTCCCCTGCTCCTCCTCCTCCTCCGTCTCCCATTGCTGCAGCTGCCGCTGAGGGGGGTGGGTGTGTGGGAGACAATGGAGTGGCACTATGGGGGTGTGTCGTGTGGGAGTGAAACTAGGGGTGCAGCGGGGGGTGTGTGAAAGGGGGGTGCGACAGTGGGGGAGGTTGAAGGGAAGTAGCCGTCGTGCCAGATGGGTGCGCTTGAAGGGAAGTAGCCGTCGTCCCAGCAGTGCCAGTAGTCCGGAGGTGCGCTTCCGGTAGCCCAGTGATGCTGCTGCGCCAGTCGCCCGTGGGTCCGTTGCTCCTGCCGCTCGTCTTAGCCGCGGAGCCAGTTACTCCTGTAGTCCGGAGGTGCGCCTCCGGTAGCCACAGTGCGCGCCGCTCCTGTTGCCCGTGTGTCTGCAGCTTCCGCCGTTGCCTCCTCTCTCCTTTCCTATTAGTCCAGCCTTCTCCTCCTCACTTGCCCTCTGTGATAGCCTCTAGTTTTACTTGTATTTGTGAACTATAACCTGCTACTTCCTGTACTTGTGCTCAAAATGTGTGGTGACTTTGTGATCCACCCTGAGCTTGTTTTGCTTTGCTTGTTGTGCTGATTACACCCCACTTTGGCTATGGGGGTGTGTCAGAATGTTATATTTGTCTAGCCTGCAGTGGGGTACTCAATAGTGAGTACAGCCCAATCTAGGGTTTCCTATATGTACTCAACTGCCTGCTAGTGCAAACCCTCTTTCTCGTTTCTAACTTTCAACTGCTGTTTCCAACAAGTGGAGGCTCGCGCAACTACTGGGCCCCCAGTGGGGTCAGCCAGTGAGACTGGGACAGGTGCTGCGAGTGGTGTGACTGTGGTGCAATCACGAAAGAAGCAACGTGACGCGCCTGAGTCAAGCGTGGAAGTGTGCAAGGCCTCAGCTGAGGCAGGACCTGTGGCAGTAGATGCACTAGCACCTAGAGCGTCGGCAGACTCACGAGCACCTAGAGCTGCAGCAGACTCACCAGCACCTGGAGCAACAGCAGACTCACTAGAACCGAGAGCAGCAGCCTCTACACGACCAGGGAGGCATCGCTGAGAAGCACAGTGGCGAGGTCACTGAGGCCACATAAAACCAAAACCTCTACCACCAGGACTACCTCGCTGAATAACCCACTCACGAAGCTGCTGAGGGGTGGGGTCGTTTTGATAGGCAGTGACCGCTGCTCTCCACCCCTAGCCACTGCAACTGCCGTGATAGTGGCCATGACAGGCAGTGACGGGCAGTAGTAGGTCCAGCACCTCCAGCACCAGCAGCACCTCCAGTACTCCTATCCGCACCTCCACCTGCAGCAGCAGTAGTAGCAGCAGGGCGGCTCGGTGGGGCTGGGTGGCGGCTCGGTGGGGCTGGGCGGCGGCTCCTCCAGCACTCCCAGCAGCACCTCCACCAGCAGCAACAGTAGCACGAGCAGCAGCAGCAGCAGCAGTAGTAGCAGGAGGGCGGCTCGGGATGGGCGGCGCGGCTCGGCCTGGGCAGCGCTGCTCAGCAGGGCACAGTGCAGCACTAGCAGCGTGTGCAGCAGCAGCGCGCTGGGCAGCAGGGCGCGTTGGGTTATTATTATTATTATTATTATCATTTAGGGTTGCGGGGCGCGCTGGCGTACTTAGCAGTGGGGCGCGCTGGGCTGCGGGGCGCACTGGCGCGCTAGGCTGCAGGGCGCGCAGGGCAGGGGCTGCTCGCGGGCAGCAGGGACGCTTGGGTCAGGGGCTGCTCGCGGGCAGCAGTGGCGCGCGGTGCAGGGGCTGCTCTCGGGCAGCAAGGGCGCTCGGGGCAGGGGCTGCTCGCAGGCAGCAGTGGCGCGCGGGGCAGGGGCTGCTCGTGGGCAGCAGGGACGCGCGGGGCAGGGGCTGCTCGCTGGCAGCAGGGGCGCGCGGGGCAGGGGCTGCTCGCGGGCAGCAGGGGCGCGTGGGGCAGGAGCTGCTCGCGGGCAGCAGGGGCGCGCGTGACAGCAGGGCAGCGCGCTAGGGCAGGCTGTGCGAGTAGCTGCAGGGCAACGTGACACTGTGCGAGAGGGCCAGATAGCGCAAGGGCGCTTCGGGCAGGAACTAGCGGAACGATCGGTGGGCCCTAAAAACCTAACTGGTTTCCTGCTCTGAATACCATGTCAGAATCAACTGTGCAGGAATGGTTGACTAGCAAGCAAGGATGAGTACAAGTACCACTAGGTTTGACCTAAAGTGTTGTACTCAGTAGAGGCTACCCCATTACAGCCTACACATACAAATGTAATTTGACAGACGGTATATATATATATACACTTGCATGCTTGCTCTTGCTAGGTTGTGATCACTGTACTGCTTGTGTTTTCATAACTCTGCATGTGAACTCGCATTGTGGCCGCTTGCTTGTGCTCAGATTACGTGATGATCTTGAGATCCACCCTGAGCTTTGCTTTGCTTTGTTCTCTTGCTTGACTGGTCTTGTGACCGTCTGTGTTTTCTATCCCCCACTTTGCCTATGGGGGAGTGTCCAGTTGCATTTACAACACTTTAGGGTTAGGTAGTACTTGTACTCATCCTTGCTATCTAGTCCATCATTCCCACGTTCTATTCTGACAGTTTCTAAGCCATCACCAGGACCCGTGCATGAACTGTGAAGTTTCACTTAGCTGCTTGCATGATGGCTGGCAATGGGTCGGTTACTTAATCAAGAAAGGCTGGGTTGGGAGTGCAGTGCACATTCCATACCACGTGCTGCGGGCGCAAGCACATGCACAATAATTGCTAGCCAATGCCGATTAAACAGAGTTATACAGCGAGGAATGACTGCTTGCACAGCCACACCAAGTGCGTTACTAGCTAGTGCAAGCTATACTAGCACAATGACCCATCTGTACGAAGCTAATATATTCCCAAATCGCTGTCAGGCTGTCAGCCCCGGCCTTCGGATATGGTGTCCAACATGGTTCTATATTGCGCCAGATCCTGCAAGTGACAGAAGTTTGTGGGAGCAAGGGAGTAGAAGTGGGATTTGTGGGGAAGAACCCACAACAGGGGAACACAGCAAGAACGAAACATTTACTGCATGTGCGGTGTGTCAGAAGGGGAGGGTTGGGGGGGGGGGGGGGGGGGTGGAATAGAGTAGGCAGCAGCAAAGAGGAAGGGATGAGTAGGGGCACGTTATAACTACGTGTTCAAAGGCACTGACAAAACCTTGGCGAATTCGACTACCCTCTGCGAACAAATTCCCAGTGCCTCTCCCTGCAATTCTCTCCGAATCATCTGCGCGACAAAGGGTCTCACCTCTGTGAGTGCAAAGACGCCGATATCATTTGAGCGGAGGGGAGAGCCCCTGCGGAGGAACTTGCTTCCTTGGAAGATGTAGAGCATGGGGACTCCCGTAGAGAGCTCCAGCTCAATCACCTGCATGATCAGCAAGTCACATCAAAAGGCAATGGCAGTGAGATCAGGGGGATCAAACTGGTGAATTTGGTCTCCATTTGAAGATGGTTCCTTGGAAGATGTAGAGCATGGGGACGCCCGTGGAGAGCTCTAGCTCTATCACCTGCAGCGTTTCATGTCAAATTTGGACAAGACAATGGGGGTGAAAATCAGGGGGATCAAGGAGGTGAATTTGGACTCAGACTATAAACTGCTCCAGTGAAAGGTGTAGAGCATGGGGACACCTGTGGAGTGCACCAGCTATATCAAATGCAGAGTTTCACGTCAAAACGCAATGGCAGTAAGAAACAGGGGAATAAACTTTCGAAAGACATAAGCGAAACTAACATGCAAAACGATAAACGTAGTAATGCCACTTCCATCCCAGCCTTCACCCAATCCCAAAGCTTATCACTCTGTAAATATGCATTCACATGGCCCACTCACACTGATTTTGTTCAGAAAGTGCGCGGAACGAAATGTAACATGGCACTTCAGACGGACATGACCTACCTCCTTTGAGGTGACGCTGTCAAGGTACACAATGATGGCGCGAATCGAGTTGCCATGTGTTTCGAGATGTTCCAAAACACTGCACATGACATACCTCCTGCGATGAAGGCTGCGCAGGGAGTTGCCATGCGCAGCAATCATCACATTCTCGCCCGCCGTGAGTCTCGGCTCCGCGTGGTCCTTGAAATACGCCACAGCACGCTCGGCGCACATGGCGAGCTGATCATTCTAGCGCTCCCTTCTCTCAGAAGTTGCACAGAGCGGAACATTGCAGGTCACACGGCACGTGACATACCTCCTGCGACGTAAGGCTGTCAAGGTACATGATAATCGCGCGCAGGGAGTTGCCATGCGCAGCAATCATCACATTCTCGCCCGCCGTGAGTCTCGGCTCCACGTGTTCCTTGAAATACGCCACGGCGCGCTCAGCGCACATGGCGAGGGACTCGCCGTTGGGAGGCGGGACGTCGTAGGATCGGCGCCAGAGAACGACTTGCTCCATGCCGTATTTGTCTGCCGTTTCCTTCTTGTTAAGTCCCTGGAGATCTCCGTACCTGCACGCCAGGGTTGGGAAAGGTTGGATGGGGGGTTGCAAGGCCAAGGCATAAGGGGCGCCCACGTTCAGTCCCCAGACTCTAGTTTCAAAAGGGAAGGCTGATTTGTTTGAATGCTGACTCCTGGTTCAGTCCTTGGAGCTCGCCGCACCAAAACGTTGGAATACTTTGGGCATGTGAGGGTGGGATAGAGAGTTTTCAGGGAATCGTATCTGATATCCACGGTACACCGATACATAATTGCACAACTGTCGTGCGACTAAGAGCATGCACATTCGCGAATTTGCATGAGTAGTTGTACTTCGGCTCAAAGTAGGGAATTCGGACGAGTAGGAATACACACCAATGGATACTGTTTTAGCACCTGACATCACAGTGATGGAACCTGAAAAAACGAGCCATGCGACTCACGTGCATTCCTTCAGTTCCCACTCAGTGATGACGGGAATAATATTTTCGTCGCTTTTCTGGCTGAAGACTCGGCACTTGACACCATTGTGATAGAGCCATGCACAAAAAAAGATATTGCAAAGCGACTCACATGCGTTCGTTCAGCTCCCACGTGGTGATGAAGGGAATGATATCCTCGTCAGTGTTCTGGCAGAAGATTTCCGAGTCGAATAAAAACTCGATGGAACAAAAAACGAGAACCATGCGACTCACATGCGTTCGTTGAGCTCCCACGCAGTGATGACGGGAATGATCTCCTCGTCGGTGTTCTCGCTGAAGATTCGGCTCCAATCCTTGGCTCTCTGGCTCTCCTCATGCAAGATGACAGGAACCTGGATGGACACGCATTGGCACAGAGACCGGAAAAGCGAGGCGGATGGAGAGCGAAAAAAATCGCGGAGAGCTTGTCAGGGCTGGAATGTGGTCGTGGACCCTTAATTTGTTACCAGAACACTCCAGTACGCAGCGCAGGGGGTGTGTGATTTGTTCTGAAATAAACCTTTATTGGCTGTACTGTCGAGTCAAAACCACAGTTCATTTGAGCAAGGTCAGAACTAACAATGAGTGGGAAGAAACATTTACTCCTCGTTGTATCGTGATGTTGAATGCCGTTCTCACCTTGTTACGGCGATGCTGCGTCATGGCCAGCATGGCAGTCATTTGAGCACGGATCAACGCAGAGGTGAAAATGACATCCACGGGAATCTCGGAGATTCTCTTCCCTGCTTCGATGGCCTCGTTGACACCCTTCTCTGACAGAGGAACGTCCACGCAGCCTGTGAAGAGGTTCTTGGAGTTCCAGAGAGACTCTCCATGGCGGATGAGGATCAGTGCAGCGGCCTCTGCGCAACGGAAGTTTTGAAAAACACCAGGAGCTCTGAAGGCTGTCAGGCACTGCTGGCAATCGTATAAACTTTTCGCAGAAAACGAAATAATGCAACAAATACGTTATGCGATCACATACTTTCTGTCGCTGCTCCGTTTTGTTGAGCGTCCGAAGCTGCCTCAGCACGAATGGCTCTCCGAACCGAAGTTGATCCTCTGCATATTATTGAACAATGCGTTTTTCAGTCTTTCCGGGAACTGTGTTGAGCGCAATACTCACGCGAACATGTGTCAATCCTCCGTGGTGGTTGGCCAAACGAGCGAGACATACCTTGCAATCTTTGCGTGAGATTTAAGGTTGAAATGGAGGGATGTAGCTGATGCTGATCGGAAGAAGGCAGCATTTACGACAGACTTCTTTGAAGCTGGATCAGAAATGCTCTTCAGAGACAGATTGCAGTGAACCGCATTTCCAGTCTGAACGGCCGCCATGCTTTGAGGTTAGTGTGGATATATGGAGGTCAGCCTGAAGTTACCAAGCAGATCGAGCCGCGAACGCCTGGATCAACCAGCAGACACTAGCGTCTCAAGCCTAGTTACCCGTGTAGACTCAGCTGAGGACAGAAGGTCGTAAACTTGTGATTGATACAGATTGCTCAGACTCTTCAATGACTTAGTCAGAAGTCCAGATCGCAGACAACCACTCTCTGAATAATAGGAACCTCTCAGCCAGCTAAAGCCTGACTCCACCACCAGGCCAGGACGCAGCAAACTACTGCCTGTGATGCTGACAGGGAGGGAGAGATACACAACCTCCAGTGCGGGAACACCCATAAGCCAACCTCCACAGGACTCACTAAACCACACTCGCCCAGTATCATGGAACCACTCTCAAAACCTTCAACTCATGCGTGATGGTTTTTGTTCGGTTAACTGCGTTCCAGAGCGGTGATTGAATGCACCGTGTTAAAGCGCAAAGGACCTTTCTGAACCGACTTTTAGTAAGCCTGACAGCAACACTGGGCATTCGCCAAGCAAAGGCAGTCAGGATCCAAGGCTGAACCAGCAGCCGTTGAACCAACCAGAAAGGAATATACCAGACAGGCATGAGCCAATCATCAACCAGAATTTGAGAACCATTTGCCAGCAAAGCCTGAATTCTCCTGCTCCGTGCCTGTAACCGACGTTCGGCGGGGCCCAATCTGACGGGCTTGCAAAGGCCCATGCATGTCAGCATCGCCGAGCTGAAGATGCAGCTGGTCAGAACCTCGGAACAGATTCTTCTCGTGAATGTTCGTGAGACGTCGTTAGGCCATAGGCGACGCTCGTGACAGCTCTTGGAAATCGCGAACTCGTGCGAGGGAAGATTACCGCCGTTCGTCTTGACGATCTTGCAGCTGGGAGGCTTTGATCAGCCGCTCGCGCGCCATTGGCTGATAAACACGAGGCGATCAAGAAGTTCGAGGTTGTGGGATCCTCCGTGTCCAGTGCCAGCACGAATACTCCCGAACACGTGGCAAGGTGCTGTAGGTTATATGTTAGCCAATCGAGTTTCGCTTCTTAGCCTCCAATCTGGGATTGCCATGCAAAAAAGTAGCTCACCTGACCCAATACAATAACGATAATGGAGCGGGGAATGTCACGCGCGTCATTCCAGATCAGAAGGCTCTGCTGCCACCATAATTCCCCAAAGCTGCTGAACCTTGCTGCTGGACATTGTTCTTCTGGCAGTTCCGTGCCTCACGATGGGACCCATCTGACGAAAACATTATCCGATATCCAAGAAATTCGGAGGAAACATTAACGAATAGCTTTTAATTACAATACGGTTGTGCTCCAACTTTCATGTACTTATTTTCAGTAAATTATCGATAGGGTGACATCCATCTTTTGAGAACACATGATTAACTTTGGTGGAACGTCTCTACGAGTGCTAAAAAAACTGACCATATTACATACACACTGTATCGTTGCCTCCTTTCCTGGTTTACGTGCCAGTGCATTTGGTCTTATTTGGCAAAACCCAAGGTGCTCTTGGATCTCGATGCTCCCCATCTCATATGGCACTTTCAAGTTGCACATGGCACTGCTGTCTCTTGACACACCAAGCAGCCCGACCTGATGGCTGCTGCTGATGCTGCTGCTTTTGGTGAAGGTGGCGGTGGTACTGCTGCTGGGGTGGTGCTGCTACTCCAGACTCTCTAAACCAGAAACCTCCTCCAGACTCCTTATAATAAGCCCCACACCAGGCCGCTGGAATGGGTCCTCATTCATTTATTAGTCGACTCAAAAGTCACGTCAGTGCTGCTGCTCTAAGCAAAGAACCTCCTCCAGACTCTGTATTATGAACCCCAATTCGGGCCGCTGCAACGGGTCCTCATTCACGCATTGTCTCGCAAGCATAAGCAGCTTCGTCGCCCCTTCTCTACTGTACACTCCGCCCAGCCTCTTATCCATAACGGAGACCAAGTTAAAGGGAACAGACCCGTACACATCTTCCCGCTCCTGCTCCTCCCACTGATGAACCTGCTGCTGCTGCTCCTGCTGCTGACTTTGCTGCTTCTTCAGCTCCTTCTGACGGCCCTGCTGTTGCTGTTGCTGGTGCTGCTGTTGCTGCTGCTGTTGCTGTTGCTGCTGCTGTTGCTGCTGCTGTTGCTGCTGCTGCTGCACAGACTGTTCACAGTGATCCAGGTGTGTGAGAGCCCAGGGCAGGAGGCGGTGGGTGTTCTCAGCAGCACCGGGCGACCGGCCTGTTGCCAGCTCCAGCAGCACCACTCCCAGCGAGTAGACGTCACTGCGCGCGGTGAGGTGGCCTGGGCGGAGGGAGGGGATGGGGGAGAGGGGTGCCTACAGCCATGAGACGACCGGCCCGTTGCCAGCTCCAGCAGCACCACCCCGAGCGAGTAGACGTCACTGCGTGCTGTGAGGTGATCTGCAGACATGAGGGTGGGGATGGGGGGAGGAGTGCCTACAGCCATGAGGCGACCTGACTGTTGCCAGCTCCAGCAGCACCACCCCCAGCGAGTAGACGTCACTGCGTGCCGTCAGATGGCCTATGGGGGGTTGGGTGTGGATGTCACTGTGCGCTGTGAGGTGGCCTTGGGAGGAGGGAATAAGGATATGTCACTGCATGCTGTGAGGTGTCCTTCAAGAAGGGTGGTGGGGGAAGGGGGAAGGGGTGTGGAGGCATGGGAGAAGGGTGTGTGGACATCTCAGCTCCAGGAGGACCACTCCCAGCGAGTATATGTCACTGCGTGCTGTCAGATGGCCTGTGGGGGAAGGAGGTGGGGGGCGGAGGTTGGGGGTTGAGGAGGCATCAGCTCAACAGCAGCACCACACCCAGCGAGTACACTCCAATGCGGGCGGTCAGGTGGCCTGAGGGAAAGGGGGGCCTGTGGGATCGGGGGGCCTGTGGGATCGGGGGGCCTGTGGGATCGGGGGGCCGGTGGGATCGGGGGGCTTGTGGGATCGGGGGGCCTGTGGGATCGGGGGGCCTGTGGGATCGGGGGGCCTGTGGGATCGGGGAACCTGTGGGATCGGGGGGCCTGTGGGATCGGGGGGCCTGTGGGATCGGGGGGCCTGTGGGATCGGGGGGCCTGTGGGATCGGGGGGCCTGTGGGATCGGGGGGCCTGTGGGATCGGGGGGCCTGTGGGATCGGGGGGCCTGTGGGATCGGGGGGCCTGTGGGATCGGGAGGCCTGTGGGATCGGGGGGCCTGTGGGATCGGGGGGCCTGTGGGATCGGGGGGCCTGTGGGATCGGGGGGCCTGTGGGATCGGGGGGCCTGTGGGATCGGGGGGCCTGTGGGATCGGGGGGCCTGTGGGATCGGGGGGCCTGTGGGATCGGGGGGCCTGTGGGATCGGGGGGCCTGTGGGATCGGGGGGCCTGTGGGATCGGGGGACACTTCAAGTGGAATAACGTGTACTAGTACCTCACTGCACCCATCTTTACCACACTGCACCCACCCATCTCCACCACAACGAACCGCAGTGAACCCCTCCTCACCTGAGTCGATGTACAAAGGGCCCAGGTAATCCAGGGTGCCGACGATGCGAGTCGAAACATGCGACTTGCCCACCCACCCACCATCCCACAACCCAACTCATGTTAATCCCCATTCAACACCCATCTTCACCGCACTGAACCACACTGAACCGCACTGAACCGCTCTAAACCCCTCCGCACTTGTGGCGATGTATGCAGGGTCCAAGTACCCCAAGGTCCCCGTGACGCGTGTTGATACGTGCGACTCGCCCAACCCACCCACAGCCCCACCCACAACACACTCATGCTGTCCGCATTGAGCACCCATCTCCACCGCACCAAACCGCACTGCACTGCACTGAACCTCACAGAAGTGGTCCTCACCTGTGTCTATATACAAAGGGTTTGAGTACCCATTGTCCCCATGATGCGAGTAGACACGTGTGACTTGCCCACCCACTGCCGCACAGCATAACTAGAGTTTGTCCAGTGTGGGCACTCATCTCCACCGCACTGAACCGCACTGAATTGCAGTGAACCCATTTATACCTGTGTCAATATACGAAGGGTCCAAGTACCCCATTGTCCCCATGATGCGAGTGGACACGTGTGACTTGCCCGCCTCAGGCCCTGCTGTGGCCATGCCAAAATCCGTGAGCTTCGCACTCATGTGCTGTAGAGGGTGGAGAAAGGTTGAGAGGGGTGAGAGTGGGTGAGAGGGGGTGAGAGTATCAGGCACTGCGACTTGCCTTCCCGAAATCCGTCAGCTTCGCATGCATGTGCTGTGGGGGGAGGGTGAGAGGGGGTGAGAGAGAGGGGCTGAGAGGGGCTGAGAGGGATTGAGAGGCCTCCGAGCATCAAGCACTGCACTTGTGCTTTAGTCGACCCATGATGTGCGTCGACACGACACGTGCGACTTGCCCGCCTCAGGCCCTGCCGTGGCCATCCCGAAATCCGCCAGCTTTGCATTCATGTGCTGTGGGGGGTGGAGAGGAGTTGAAAGGGAGTGAGAGGGGGTGAGAGAAAGGGTGAGAGGCCTCAGAGCATCAGGCACGTGCGACTTGCCTGCCTCAGGCCCTGCTGTGGCCATTCAGAAATCTGTCAGCTTCGCACTCATGTGCTGTTGGGGGGGCGAGAGAGGGTGGTGCGAGGGTTGAGAGGGGTTGAGAGGCGTCAGAGAATCAGGCACTGCTCTTGCTCTTCAGTCGACCCATGATGCGAGTAGACACATGCGACTTGCCCGCCTCAGGCCCTGCTGTGGCCATTCCAAAATCTGTCAGCTTCGCATGCATGTGTTGTGGGGGGTGAGACAGGGGTGAGAGGAGGTGAGAGAGAGGGGGTGAGAGGAGGCGCGAGAGTGGGGGTGAGAGGAGGCGCGAGAGTGGGGGTGAGAGGAGGCGCGAGAGAGGGGGTGAGAGGAAAGGTTGAAAGAGAGGGTGAGTGGGAGAGTGAGAGGGAGGGTGAGGAAGATTGAGAGTGAGGATGAGAGAAAAAATATGAACCAGGCCTGAGAGCATCAGTCACTGCACCTGCTGGGCCACAGATGGTTGGGGTGATGTTTTCCAGTCCATTTATATATTAGACTTGGCACAAAATCGAAATCGTCAAAGGCACAGCATTTGGCGAGCCAAGGATAGGAAACCTGCGCAGATACACTCTGTACGCGTTATTACCTTGCCCAGCAGTATATTGCACGTCTTTAAGTCCCTATGAATCAAGCTCTGCCCGTGCAGGTACTCCAGCCCTCTGTATGCCACTGTAGGTACACCCTGTACGCGTTATTACCTCATCCAGTAAAATGTTGCACGTCTTGAAGTCCCTATGAATCACGTTCTGCCCGTGCAGATACCCCAGCCCTCTGTATGTCACTGTAGCTACACCCTGTACGCGTTATTACCTCATCCAGCAGTATATTGCACGTCTTGAAGTCCCTGTGAATCACGTTCTGCCTGTGGAGGTACTCCAGCCCTCTTGCCACGTCCACAGCTATGCGCACGCGCTGCCGCCACGTCAGCACAGGCGTAGCAGAATCAACGTTACTAGCAGCACCACTAGACAAACCCCCAGCCGCCGAAGCAGTTGTAGCATCATCGTTATCTGTAGCAGAACCACCAGCTGTAGCAGCAGCTGTAGCACTCATACTCCCCCACCTCCGCTCCCTCTCCTCCTCCCCTTCCTGCTCCTCCTGCTGACGTGGATACAGCCACGTGTGCAGATTCCCCCTCTCTATAAGCTCATAAACCAGCAACGCCGCAGCACCCCCCCGGGGCCGATTCAAGTCCACACAGTACCCCAGCAGCCGCACCAGATTAGGGTGGTTTAGACTCCCCAGCATTATAATCTCTGACATGCACTCGTCTACAGCCTTGAAACTGCCGCTGTGTAGCACCTTCACTGCCACGTCACGCTGACGTGGACTGCCTGTGCCACCACCACCTGAAGCACCGCCACCTGCCCTTCCACCACCACCTCCTCTTCCTGCTCTCCCTGCTCTTCCTTCCCCGTTCCCCTGCGTGTTCCCTCCTCCTCCTCCTCCTCCTCCTCCTCCTCCTCCTCCTCCTCCTCCTCCTCCTCCTCCTCCTCCTCCTCCTCCTCCTCCTCCTCCTCCTCCTCTCTCCTCCACTGGAACCTCCCCCTCATCTTCCTCGCCGAGCCAGTCCTCCACCGAGCCTCGGTACACCGTGCCGAAGCTGCCCCGGCCCAGGATCTGGCTCGGGCCGAACCACTGCGTGGCCTGCTGTAGCTCGCGGTAGGTGAATCGGCGGAGTGGTAACGTGGACCAGGTCTCGTCCGTTGTTGTGAATCGGCTACCTGTCACTGGCAGGGGGGCAAGGAGGCAGGGGGGCAAGGAGGCAGGGGAGAATGTTGTTGTGAACCGGCTACCTGCTCTCGAGAACACAAAGAAAACAGCTCGGGTGGAGTGGTAACGTGGACCAGGTATCGTGCCTGACACTGGCAGGTGGAAAAGGAGAGGTAGGGGAGGCTGGTTAGTCCTGGGAAATTCTCAAGAACCAGCTCGCGGTAGGTAAACTGGCGGAGTGCTGACGTGGTCCAGGTCGCATCCGTGGTTGTGAATCGGCTAGTACCGGACACTGGCAGGAGGGGAAGGGAAGCCATGGGAAGAGAGGCAGGAGGGGAGGCAGGAGAGTTTGGTCTTTGAGAATTCTCAGAAACTACAACCTTGGTGGAGTGCTTCTGACGTGGTCCAGGTTTCGTCCGTTGTTGTGAATTGGCTAGTGCCTGACACTGGCAGGGAGGGAAGACATGAAAAGAGAGGCAGGAGAGATCGTGTGAGAGATTAAGAGGAAGCACCGCGTGGGATGTTGCAGCTCACGGTGTGTGAACCGGCGGAGTGGTAACGCTGACCAGGTTTCGTCCGTTGTTGTGAATCGGCTAGTACCGGACACTGGCAGGGAGGGAAGACATGGGGAGAGAGGCAGGAGAGATCGTGTGAGATAAAGAGGAACCACTGTGTGGCCTGCTGGAGGTCGTGGTGGAGTCACCTTTGAGGAGGCGAGGCTGCACGCGATGGAATGGACGGCAGCCAAGCCATGTAAGTGGAACCACGGCCGTGAGCGGTGCACGTGGCAGCACGTGCTAGCACCCACCTGAGGAGACGAGGCTGCAGGCGATGGAGTGGACGGCAGCCAAGAAGTACAAGTGGAAGGGGAAGGGGAACCAACCACGACCTTGGCCGACGCTGGCGAGGAGATGAAGAAGAAGGTCTATACTGAGAGCAAGAAGAAGAAGAGAAATGAAGCATACTGCCAGCAGCGCAAGTGGCAGCACGGACCTGAGGAGGCGAAGCTGCAGGCGATAGATTGGACGTCTGCGAAACCGTGCAAGTGGAAGTGGAACCACGATCGTGGTTGGCGGCGCTGGGGCATCAGCGACACGCTTCGCGGACCGCCTTTACTCAGCCTGCTCTCGCAGCAGCCCATGATGGCTTAGCGGTGGCAGCGGACGAAGCGAAAACCTTTCTTTTTCTAGGGCGCCTAATAAAAACAGCAGCCCATGATGGCGTCTAACATAATCAACCCATGGCGGTGTTAAAAAGACTAACGGGGTGGCGACTGCACCCAGAAGTTGCTTCTGAGTCGACTCAAATGTCGGTGCCACGTCTAACAATGACGCCCAAGTGCCGTCTCCTCAGCCGGCTGGCCGCCAGCGGCGGGCCTCGAGTTGAGCGGTGCAGAGGGTCACTTTTTGACGCTAATCTGCTAGTCGCTAGCACATAGTAGTTGGACAGATACCTCTAATTCGTCGCGCGCAAATCAATACTTTTCAAGGCGCGTGAAAATGTCCATTGAAGTGCCTTTGATTAGCGGTTGTTCAAAGTTTTTTTAGAAAGCTGGCGAGAAACATACCGTGTACCTTTTACTAGAACTAGTACGCGACGCCAGTGGACGCGTCCTAAAATGGTGGGACTGATTAAAGTGGTGCAATATGGTGCACGAGTGCGCGAGAAATAAGCTGAGCGGTTTCAGTAATTTATTAGTAGGCTGGGGCAAAAAATCGAGTGGCTTCACAGCAGTGGGAGATATGAAAGCCGTGCTTCCCAGGCATCCAAAGCAACCGTGAGTTATTCTAGTAGAATCATTCACATACAAAGCCGTTTTGTGGGTTGCATTACGGTTCAGAATGGTAAAACGCCGAAAGTCGTTGTCCAATGCTTGGAAACGCACTGAACCGCACTAGAGTATTTGCTTTGTGGAAAACCAGAGGCTACACAGAGGAGCAGCAAACCTTGCTGAGCGTCTCGGCAATCAGGACGACAACTTTTTACTGTACGATAAATGAGTATCGGCCGTTCGATTATCAACGCTGACAAGGCACGTGCCGCCTGAGGCTGGTTTCGTCTGCGGTAACGTGTGTCTGTCACTGTTGCAGTTTCGCAACAGCCGCGTGCTCGACCTGCTTTGAACGAGACACTTCCACGTGGTTGACAAAAGGGATGTCGTGCTAAGGTGCCCTCGATACGGAGATACTTCGATTCTGTACAGAAAAAATCGAAATTGAGTTATACAATTATCTGGATCGCGAGTGCCGTGTTTTCCTTGTGATACCCTTCAGATAGCGCTTCGGCAGCTGGTCAGCAGCAGGTCTGACACAATTGCAAGTAACCAATGAATCGTCGCATCCAGGTGCTCCAGGCCAGAGACAAACCTGCAACTTCTGAACCGAAGCACACAAGTTGGCGGGAAATACCTCAAACCGAACTGTATTCAAGCCAAGCCTCACTTTTTTCGCTGAAAGCAAATCACAGAGCGACACATGACTTCCCGCCTCAGCAAAAACTTGGCCTGGCGAATCTGGAAGTCCAGGTGATGGAGCCGAACATGGAGCTCCAAAATGTTGCCATGATGATTTCGAGTGTAGACGGTGATGGGTCAGGAATTCCAGAAGGGGGAGTTACACATTTCGATCTCAAAAGCCACGGTTCGGTATGGTTTAGTTTGTTCCAAAGCGGTTGAGTAACCGACCGCTGATTACCGTGTGGTACCATACGGCACCGCACTGCTCCATCATCAAACAAACCTGCCACCAGTCTTTCCTGACAGCAGTTTGTTAGTCAAGCGATCTGCTACCAGCAATGGCTTCGCTGTGTGCTTTGGTTTAAGGAATGGAGATATCGAAGATTGCATAACCTACGCCGACCCATCACCAAGCCAGAGTTAGCTTCCGTGGTTCTCGATTCTTCGACTCATTTGCACGTTAGACTTCAAATTCTGGCAGAAGTGACTCGCGAGAGAATTAGAACAATCGTACAGACAGTATTGACAGCGGTAGATATTCGCTAGCTTATGTAGATGAGGGACGTTTCAGCATCAGTATGACGAAAGCTGGAGATCTGTCTGCCATGGCGGACCAACGAGCAGAAAGGCATGGAATTGCCGAACCGTCAGCCACGCCGCGATCGTCGTCGATTGGTGGTAGTTTCGGTTCATCAATCCCAAGTCCTGTAGTTAAACAAAGGTTACTATTCCAGTCACCACAAGGAGCATCGGAAGTCCTTATAGCGAAGGAAAACGGTCCAGGTAAGGAGGGAGGCTCTGGTATTCCAGTGTCACCTAGGCCTGGCCTCAAACCTCCAGGAACGGTCACTAGTCTCCGAACCTCGTGGACACCCTCGTCGCGCCTTCCGTCGAACCTGCCCCGTAGGTCAGGCTCGGGTCAAGGCTCGGAGGAACCAGGGGAGCTGAGCCGGACCAGCTCAGCAAGCTCGGATGCCGGAAGCAGGTTCGGGACGGAAACTCCGGGCAGGAGTAGCGCGAGTGACGCCGCAAGTGCTAGTAGAATCCACTACAATGGCGGAGGGATGGCGACCGGAGTCCTGCGCCCGAGTAATCATGGTACGTCATACCCGTTAAGGTGTATTACATCATATTGAAGAGCAAATATTATATGGTATGTAACCGCGGCGTCTGCAGTATACCTGTTTCATAACTGTAGATATTGCAAGCGGCGCTGTTCAAGTCTGTCTCCTTATGATCCCCGTCATCCTTTTTCGTCAGCTTTGTAAGTATTGTAACACCCGTTTCGCACGGATGATTTTCTTCGTTATCCCCGGTTACAGCTGGCGAGCAGGCGACCTCGTTAGCTGCTGACGTCAAGCCTGAAAGGAGATCGAACCCTGGGCAGGAGCAACGGCAGCGTCAGCAGGTTTTGATGCACCAGCAGCAGCAGCAGCATGAGCAGCACCACCAGCACCAGCAGCAGGAGCAGCCGCAGCAGGCTGGTGGTAGGTTCGGCTTCAAATCCCCCTCATTGCAAAACCATCGGCAGCACGAATCTCAGCCAACGTCGCCGCTGCTGGCGGCGCAGCAGCAGCGGGGTCACATGCAGCCGGAAGAACGAGTGATTGGAAGCTTCTCCGCAGTTACCGACGGGTCGGACAGGAGGCTCAGCTTCGGAAGGGTGGAGTCGCAGCTTCGGGTGAAAGAGATGAGAGGCTCGGAGAGGAAAGGTTTGGAAAGGAAAGCCGTTGGGGGAGGTCGGGAGGGGGTTACGCGCGCGGGGGACGGGGAGGAAGCGGCGGAGGAGGAGAGGCGGAGGGAGATTGAGAGGGAGAGAAAGAGGGAGAGAGAGAGGGAGATAGAGAGGGAGATGGAGGTTGCGCGAGAGAGGGAGGAGAAGGAGAGGGCGGAGAGGGAAGAGAGGGAGGAGAGGGAGAGGTTGCTGAAGGAAGAAAGGGAGAAAGAGAGGAAGGAGAAGGAGAGAAGAGTTCAGGAAGAGAAGGCAAGGCGTGAACGTGAAGAGAAAGAGAGGGTTGAGAGGGAGAGAGCAGAGAGGGAACGGAAGGAGAGGGAGAAGGCTGAACGGGAAAAGATGGAGAAGGAAAGGAAGGAGAGGGAGAGGAGGGAAAGGGAGAGGTTTGAGAGGGAGAGGGTGGGGAGGGAGGAAAGGGAACAGCGGGAGAGAATGGAGCGAGAGTTGGAGGAGCGGAGGGAGAAGGAGAGGCAAGAGGAGCTGGCGAAAGTGAGACAGAGGGAGCGAGAGCGGTTGAGAGAGATTGAGCTGGAGATGGAGCGGCAGAGGCATGTGCGAATCGCAGAAGAACAGCAGAGGGAGAAGGAGAGGGCTGAGGAGCGAGAGAAGGAGCGGCGGAGAATGGAAGAGGGGGAGAAGGAGCGGGAGAGGGAGAGGGAGAAGGAGAGGGAGAGGGTGAGAGTGGAGCAGAGGCGGAGAGAGGAGGAACGGCGGCTGCGGCGGCAAGAAGAAGTCCAGAGGCGGAAGGAGAGGCGCGGAGATGAGCTATCAGGGAAGGCCATGGGGGATCCTCTTCGTGTGATCGCCTGGGTTGCGGGAGCAGGAGTGTCGTCTGCTGCTTTCGGCAAGCCTTCCGGCTCGTTTGGAACACCTTATCAGGTATAAGTTGTGGAATTTTGTTAAGCGGCCGTGTGGGGGGGGGGGGGTATCCTCTTTGTGTGATCACCTGGGTTGCGGGAGCAGGAGTGTCGTCTGCTGCTTTCGGCGAGCCGTCCAACTCGTTTGGAACACCATATCAGGTATAAGATGTGGAATCTTGTTAAGCGGCCATGGGGGGGAGTATCCTCTTCGTGCAATCGCCTGGGTTGCTGGAGCAGGAGTGTCGTCTGCTGCTTTCAGCGAGCCGTCCAACTCGTTTGGAACACCATATCAGGTATAAGATGTGGAATCTTGTTAAGCGGCCATGGGGGGGAGTATCCTCTTCGTGCAATCGCCTGGGTTGCTGGAGCAGGAGTGTCGTCTGCTGCTTTCAGCGAGGCTTCCGGCTCGTTTGGTACGCCAGATAAGGTAAAACTGAAAGAGAAGCTGAGATTTCCTTAAAATTGCAGCCAAAGGAGACAAGTGCACACATGCCCTTTGCGTTGCGCTCGTAGGTTGGTTCGGTTTGCGGTATTGAATGTTTTTGTTGCCGTGATTGTTCCTAATTATGCGACTGGTGGTTGATGGTGGTTGGTTGCTCATCGTGGTGTGCATGTATTCGGTGTGACTATGTATGTCCAATTCGTGTTTGTTCTTTCCCAGGCCGCCCCGGATCATTCTCAGGTGCTGCAGCAGTGGGTACAGCGAGCAGCCCACTTCCACAGCAGGCTGGGATCTGACGTGGCTCCAGCTGACGTGGCACCAGCGTCAGCTGTAGCGGACTTTTGGCGGGGTGTCAGGGCAGCAGTGGAGGCGGCAGAGGATGTGGCTATAGCGGGGGGTGAGGAGCAGCAGACGGGCGTGACAGTGTCTGTAGGCGCGTGTGACTTAGCTGCAGTGCGACAGCTGCAGGGAAATGCGAGGAAGCGAGGTAAGATGTCAGTAGCAAACCATCCACCCTACCTACCAACCATCCACCCTACCTACCAACCATCCACCCTACCTACCAACCATCCACCCTACCTACCAACCATCCACCCTACCTACCAACCATCCACCCTACCTACCAACCATCCACCCTACCTACCAACCATCCTTCCCTTAACAGCCTTTTCTCCTCAACCCCACCTGGATGCTATTTTGTCCGTCATGTTCACATTCTCCCAATTTCTCATTCTCCCAATTTCTCATTCTCCCAATTTCTCATTCTCCCAATTTCTCATTCCCCCAATTTCTCATTCTCCCAATTTCTCATTCTCCCAATTTCTCATTCCCCCAATTTCTCATTCTCCCAATTTCTCATTCTCCCAATCTCTCATTCTCTCCTTCACCCCCCTCTCCATCCCCCAGTGGCAGCAACAGAAGCGATGGCGCAGCAGGTGGGGGCGTTTGAATCCACGTGTGGGGCAGCTGGACGGGGAAGCGAGGAGGCGGTTAGGGTGGCCATACAACAGCTGATGGAGTGAGTATGAGTGCTGCTGCTGCTTCCCTGCTGCTGCTTCCCTGCTGCTGCTTTTCCCCTCCCACTCCTTTCCCCCCTCCCATTCCCTTGCCCCCTCCCATTCCCTTTCCCCCTCCCACTCCCTTTCCCCCTCCCACTTCCTCCCCCCTCTCACTCCCGTTCCCCCTCCCATTCCCTTTCCCCCTCCTACTTCCTTTCCGCCTCCCACTCCCTTTCCCCCCTCCCACTTCCTTTCCGCCCCCCACTCCCTTTTCCCCTCAAACTCCCTTTCCCGCTCCCACTCCCTTTCCCCCCTCTCACTCCCTTTTCCCCTCCCACTCCCTTTCCCACTCTCACTCACTTGCCCCCTCCCTCCTGCAGGGTCGTCGCCAATCAAGGACTCACACTCCATAGGCTTTCCGCTACAGCTGCTACAGCTGCTCCCGCTGCTACAGCCGCTACAGCCGCCTCAGTCGCTACAGCCGCTACAGGCGGGGAGGAGGAGCAATGGGAAGATCCCTTGGTGTTGGCCGTGGGAGGGGTGGTGGGAGCAGCGGCTGCGGCACTTAAGAGCTGGCTAAGTGTCGTTGTGGAGGGGAGGAAGGGGAGGAAGGGAGGAGTGGGAGGAGGTGGAGGTGCGGGGAAGGTGGCAACTGGTGCAGGTGCATCTGGTGGGCATGTACTGTTACAGCCGCCCAAGGCTGCTCTAGCTGTAAGTATTTGGTTTTGTGAGATTTTGCCTTTTTTCTCTCTTTGTGGGAGTCTTGGCCTCTCTGTCTGTGTGAGACGGTGTCTGAATGAGTACCCGCTTTTGAGGTGCCTCAAAAGCTGGTTACCATGCCATGCCATCTCACTTTGACACCCATTTCTCTGTACCCCTTATAAGCACATGTCGAGTTGACCTCTTCCATTCCCTCCCTTCCGATCCCACTGCTTCTCTGCAACTCCCTCTTGATGACTTTTTAGGATTTAAGGGAGGCTCGTGATGTGCTGGACGTGTGGCGGCATGAGCTGGCACGGCTGCACTCGCGCCTAGTCAGCGTCGTCTGCCGCTCCCAGCTGACGTCAGCACACGGCCGCATGACCTGGCAACCGGCATCGCCAGCTCAGCTCCCAGGCCAGGACCACACGATGGCCCCTGCTGACGTGGCAATGGCGTCTGCTTGCGCTTTCCTGGACCAAGCGATAGACATTCGGCAGCAGGTGAGATTTTTCGTGCGGCAGGGTAGATTCTCCGGCCGGCAGGGTAGATTCTCCAAGTGTCTGGGAGGTGATACTGAAAGAGTTGGCTTGTGCCTGTCGCCGTTATCAGTTTCTTTTTGTCCTCTTTTCCATCCCTGCAGCATGAGGGGTGGGAGGAGGCGATGACAGCAGCTGCGCTGGTGTGCGACCTGGAAGCTTCCTCAGGCATCAGCAACACCGGTGGTGCTGACGTGGACAGATGGAGGCGCTTCCTGGAGCCACTCACAGACAGCCACGTGGCAGACATTCTCGAAGGTGCGGAACATACGCAGGGGTTTACTGCTGATAGCCTCCTCTCAGCCCTCGTGAAAGCCTGTGGAAGCCTCTTCTGGTGTGGCTCCCTCCCTCCCTCCATCCCATTTCTCTCTACCTCGTCCGATCTCTCTCAACATCTTCCAACCGCTTCCCCCACCCTCCCCTCCCCCTCTCTCCCCGCTCACACACAGGCGACCTTGCCAGCTGGCGGGCGGCGCAGGGCATCTACTGGGCGGCAGTGGCTTCCGAGGAGGAGGCACTGGCGGGGCTGCTGCAGGCGCGACTGGGGGAGGTGCCATCCGCCATGGGGCGGCTGCAGCTGCTGGCGCAGTGCTCGTCCTTTACTGCGCTGCCGCGGGTACGATTTCAGTAGGCTTGTGTTGTGTGTGGGTCTTGAGCCGACTCAATCGACTGTTCACTCCACAAGGAACGCTCTTACTTGTCCAAAGAGGGTTGTTTGTTCACTTCAACCTTCAAGGATGGTTGCTCTCAGTTGTTCATGCAGTCGTCCCACTTTTTTCCCTTGCCGCTCCTCTGCCTTCCCTCCCTCTCCGTCCTCCTCCCTCCTCCCCACCACCACGGCAGGTGTCAGCATGCCTGCAGCACGACTTGCAGCAAATGCTGCACGAGGTGGCGGCAGGTGAGAGGGGCGTGTGACGCTTTTGAATGCCACCAGTCGAGGTGTATGATAGTTGCGATGCACATGTTGCACGATAGCTGCTGCTTTCTGAAAGAATGCTGGGAACTGTTTTGAGACGTCTCAAAACACTTCTTCAATCAGAATGGTGGGAGAGGTGTCTGCAACCTTTTGAATGTGCTGCTTCCCTCTGCCCTTACCACCCTTCCACTGCCCCCCTTCCGTTTCTTCCTTCCTCCCCCATCCATTTCCCATCCCCTCTCCCCCTCTGCTCTCCCGTCCCCATTCCCCAACTCCTTCACCTTTCCTCCCCATCCCCCATTCCCCATCTTCCGTTTCCTCTCCGTCTCCCCATCCCCCATTCCCCATCTTCCGTTTCCTCTCCGCCTCCCCATTCCCCCTCCCCCACTCTCCTTCCCATCCGCCCTCCCCATTCCCCTTCCCCATCCCCTTTCCCATCTCCGCCTCCCCATCCCCCACCCCCTCCCCACTCCCCGTCCCCCCTTCGCCAGACGTGCGAGCACTGGAGGAACAGCTATGGCACCCAACCGCAGCCTGCCACGTGTCCTCCCTCGCCCAGCTCAGGGGCGTGCCACGTGTCGCCGCCTCAGTGGCCCGCGCCAAAGCCATTCACAGGAAGCTGAGGGCGCTAGATGCGGCCCTGCACGCTCTGCTGGGTGACAGCTGGCGCAGCGGGATTGGCCGGGCGGGAAGGGGAGGGAGCAGGAGGGGGAGGGGGGCCGGGGGGGCGGTGGGGATGGGTGGAGATGGGGAGGGAGGGGTTGAGTGTGGTGGGGCGGGGTGGGGAGCGGTGACGGACGGTGGGCTACGGAGGTCGATTGCTCGGCTGCTGGAGGAGGCGTTGCAGCAGACGGACCCTCAGAAGGTGCGTGTTAGTGTGTGAAGAGGTTACTCCCGCTACTGGCAACACCAACCCCACCATGTGCAGAAGCATGAGTGCGGAGGAGGCAGAGGAGGCCCTAAGAGGCCATGTGCTCGCCCCCTGCTCGTCCTGCCCGCTCCTAACGAGTGTCTCCCTCTCTTTTCACCCATCCACTCTCCCTTCCAGACTGTCAACCAGTGGCTGCAAGAAAAGCTCTCTCCCACCCCACCACCAGCAACAACAGCAGCATGAGTGCGGAGGAGGCAGAGGAGGCCCTACGAGGCCCTGTGCTCGCCCCCTGCTCGTCCCGCCCTAACAAATGTTTCCCTCTCTCCCCTGAATCCATCCACTCTCCCTTCAGACCGTCAACCAGTGGCTGCAAGAAAAGCTCGCTCCCCACACTGGCAGCACCAATAGCAGCAGCATGAGCGCGGAGGAAGCAGAGGAGGCACTGAGGGGCCCTGTGCTCGCCCCCTGCTCGTCCCGCCCGCCCCTGGCTGACGTCAGCAACAGCAGCGCGGCTACAGCTGGGGAGGAGGGGCAGGCGGAGCCGCTGCTACAGCTGCAGGTGAGGGGGAGAGAGATGAGGGGCTGAAGGTTATCCGGTGAGGGAAAACGGCAAAGATGACTTCCGGTGTGAGGTTAGGGGTGCAGGCATGAATGGCATGTGCGTGGGGAGGAGGAGCAGGCAGAGCCAGAGTGCTACAGCTGCATGTGAGGGGGAGAAAGATGGAGGATGGAATTAGGAATCCGGCAGGCATGCTAGATTAGAGATGCAAGGGGAGGGTGGCAGAGATGGCAGAGATGGCTATTTGCGATCCCTTTCTTTCCTCTCCAGCTCAACAGCCTTTCACCTGCCACCCATTTTTTCCTTAACCCATCATCCCCACAGGTGCAGTACAAGGCTAGCCTACTCCATCTGAGCGAGGAGGTCCATTCTCTTATCCCCTCTCACCCCCCCCTCTCCCCCATATGAATCCCTAATCCATGCCACCTCCACTCTCCAGGTGCAGTACAAGGCAAGCCTCCTTCACTCGAGTGAAGAAGTCCGCTCCCTTAGAGCGTCCGGCTTCAACATCCCGCACCACCTGCTCGCCTGCGCCCTCTCCGCCTCTGCTGCCGCCTCCTCCGCCTCCACCATCTCCCCTCGTGCCTGCTCTTCAAACCACTTGACCCCCTGCCCTCTGCCCCTCTGCCTGTGTGCTCCCTGTGAAACCCTACTCCATGCCCCCTCTCCCCCCACCAGGTGCAGTACAAGGCAAGCCTCCTCCAATCAAGTGAAGAAGTCCGCACCCTTCGAGCATCCGGCTTCCACATCCCCCACTCCGCCTCTGCCCTCTCCGCCTCCGCCCTCTCCGCCTCCGCCCTCTCCGCCTCTGCCCTCTCCGCCTCTGCCCTCTCCGCCTCTGCCCTCTCCGCCTCTGCCCTCTCCGCCTCTGCCGCCGGCTCCTCCATCTCAAGAGCGCTCGAGAGCTTTGCTCCTCCTCTCCGCTCTCCCCCTTCCTGACCCCCTTCCCTCCGCCCCTCTGCCCCTATCCTTCCCCTACAGGTGCAGTACAAAACGAGCCTACTGCACTTGAGCGAGGAGGTGCGATTGCTGAGGTCATCCGGATTCCACATCCCCCACCACCTGCTCGCCTGCGCCCTCTCCGCATCTGCTGCCGCCTCCTCCGCCTCCACAATCTCACGAGCGCTCGAGAGCTTTGCTGACGTCAGCGCTGGCGTCAGCAAGGGCGTGCTGCCGCTGGTGGCGGCGTCAAGAGAAGCGGTGCTGGGGATCATGCAGAGCGGTGAGTCATGATTGTAGAGCGGTAAGAGGGGGTTGGGAATTGTGCAGGGCGGTAAGGGGGTCGGGGATTATGCAGTCTGGTAGTGCAGTCAGGAAGCACGGGTGGATTTTGTTGAGAATTCTAAAAAAAACAGATGCAGTCCAGAGGAAGAAAGGGTGAACATGCTTTTGTTCAAGAATTCTCCAAAAAACAGATTTCGAGAATTCTAGAAATACAGATGCAGTCAGGAAGAAAGGGCCTGCTGTGCTGCAGGCGTCGCGGGAGCAGTGCTGGGGTGGGAATATCGCACTCAGATAAGGGGGTTGGGTGGGAATAGAGGAGAGAGGTAAGGGGGTTGGGAGGGAATAGAGGAGAGAGGTAAGGGGGTTGGGAGGGAATAGAGGAGAGAGGTAAGGGGGTTGGGAACTGTGCAGAGCGGTTAACAAGTTTGGGGATAATGAAGAGCAGAAGTTTGGGGATAATGAAGAGCAAAAGTTTGGGGATAATGAAGAGCAAAAGTTTGGGGAAAATGAAGAGCAAAAGTTTGGGGATAATGAAGAGCAAAAGTTTGCCCTCCACCCAACCTCTCTTGCTTCTCTCATACCATCTCCGCTTTCTTCCCCAACCTCCCACCCATGCAGGCCAGGGCGTGGTGTGGAGGGAGGAGGACGAGGTGGACGAGTTCGCAGTGTGCCTGTGGGATGCAGAGGAGGCAGCTTGGTGTGTCCGTATCAGCCACCCACCTCAGTCACTCCTTTGTTCCTGGTTCTCCCTCATGTTCTCCCACCCCTTCAGGCCAGGGCGTGGTGGGTCAGCTACCTATCTCAACCACTCCTTTGTCCCCCGTTGTTCCCCCCATGCCCTCACTGCAGGCCAGGGCGTGGTGTGGGAGGAGGAGGACGAGGTGGACGAGTTCGCTGTATGCCTGTGGGATGCTGTAGAGGCGTTTTCATCTGCAGTTGCTGCGGCCAAGGAGAGGCACGATGCGGCATGGCAGTGCCTTGAGCGGATTCGTTCCTGTGCCTATAAGGTGAGTGTGTGTGTGCCGGTGGTTGGATTGGAGGGTGTGTGCTTGTAAGGCGTGTGTGCCTGTGGGATGCACTGGAGGCGTTTTCAGCCGCTGCTGTTGCGGCCAAGGAGAGGCACGATGCCTTGAGCGTGGCAGTGCCTTGAGCGTGGCAGTGCCTTGAGTGTGTCAGATCGTGTGCTTACAAGGTGAGACCTTACAGCAAGTCTTTAAGGTGAGAGCCTCTAAGCCTGCTCTGCTGCTGCTGCTGCTGCTGCTGCTGCTGCTGCTGCTGCTGCGGTCAAGGAGAGCCATGACGCTGCATGGCATTGCCGAAACCCTGAGCTTGTTCTAAAGAGCTTTGTCAAATGGCACAAAGCGTCAAACCTTAATGTTTTCTCCATCCTCTTTTTTTTTCTTCCATCCCCTCTCACCGAATCAGGACCTGCCAACTCATCTCCGCCAGCTGGCGCACGCGGTGATCGCAGCGATCTCCCGGCTGCCTTACCCTGCTGCCACGTCAGCTTCCACGTCAGCAGAGTGGCAGCGTGAGGTGGCTGCCACGTGGGCGGCCCCACTGATGACGCAAGCACAGGCGGTGCTGCAGCAGAAGCTGACGTCAGCCCTCTGCTGCTGGCTGAAGAAATGGAAGGACCTGATTGGAGGAGACTCTCCTGCTGCTACAGCTACTGCTACAGCCACCACGGGTGCCAAATCTGCTACAGCTTCTGCTGCTGCTGCTGCGGCGGCGGCTGCTAGGATTAATGAGGTCTCTAAGGGATCCCCTGAGCGTGTTGGTGGTCTGCAGGTGGTGGTGAGAGAGATTGAGGCTGTGCTTTCACTGCATAAGCCCTCTGGTGTAGGGAAGGAACGTGCAGGTGAGGGAGCAGACTCAGCAGGGGCAGCAGGGGCAGCAGGGGCGGCAGGGGTAGTGTTAGGGGACTTGAAGGGGGAAGATGGGAGTGAGACTGAGTCGTTTGTGCTGCAGCTGCTGCAGGAGCAGATGGGGATGCTGACGCACCGAGTGACTGTGAGGGGGTCAGACGCAGGGGCGGTGAGAGTGGAAGGAGGAGGAGCGAGTGGCAGGATGGAAGTGGAGGTACAGCCTCCTCTTTCTGAGTCTCAGCAGCGGCTGCAGGACTGTGTTCAGCTGCTGCTCGCTCCCGCTCTCTCTGCTGCTGCAGAGGCCAATAGCGTCCTCTCCTCTGCCTCTGCTGCTTTTATGCTCTCTCTCGCTCCCTCTGCTGTTGGAGAATCAAGCCTCCTCCTCTCCGCCTCTGCTTACCCTCCTGCTGATGTCACCCCCACGGCCGCTGGTAACTCCAGTGACGTCAGCAGCAACGTCAGCGCGGATAGCTATCACAGCACGGCGAGGGGCGGGGCTAGTGTGGGGAGTGTGTTAGTAGTGAGCTGTGTGGTTCCAGCCCGCCTGGAGGCGTGTGCGTATGGGGTGGTGGATGCGGTGGTTGGGGCGGCTGAGGGGTGGGTGGGCGAGTGGAGGGTGAGAGTGGCGCAGGCGGAGGGGAAGCTGGAAAGGTGCGCCCGTCCTGCTGCTGCTGTAGCTGCTGCTTCTGCTTCGGCTGCTGCTGCTGCTGCTGCTGCTGCTGCTGCTGCTGCTGCTGCTGCTGCTGCTGCCCCAGCTGCTGTTAGCGAAAGTTGCAACACCTCCCTTCCCCCGTCTTCGACTGAACTCTGGCGTTCCCTTATGAACGAAATTCAGCAGGTTCGGAACCAGCTGGCTGCCAAACCTGCGGTGGTTAGGTTCGGCGCAGCTGACCGAACCTCGCTCTTAGCCGTGGACGCAGGCTCAGTGAGGGAGGCACTGGTGGGTCGGTGTGAGGCTTGGATTCGGGCGGCTGAGGAGGATATAGAAGGCAGGGCGGTTCGGGGATGTAACGAGGTGATAAAAGAGGTATCTGAGCTGAAGAAACTATTAGAAGGGATTAAGAGGGAGGCAGAGGGGGAAGTTATGGGGAGAGATAGGGAGCAGAGGCTTGGGCGAGTGAGAGACGGAGAGGAGGGTGAGGAGGGGGAGCAGGGGGAGCAGGGAGAGGAGGAACAGGAGGAAGAGGAGGGAGAGGAGAACAAGGCAGCTATGGGTAATGGTGGTGCTGGTAAGGGTGAAGGGTTGAGTGGGGATGTGCGGAGGCTTATAGAGCATCTAGAGAGAGTGAGGGAGGCGGAGAGGAGGGTAGTAGAGGTGAGTGAGGGAGTGGAGAAAGTCAGGCCGTTAGTAGAGGTGGCGGTTGCTAGGGGAGGAGGAAGTGGCAAGGGGAAAAGGAGCACTAGCAGCAGCAGCAGCGGTGGTAGTAGCAGTAGGGCTGGCGTTGGGGTGGCGCTGGTACAGGCAAGCTGGAAAGAGCTGGAGAAGGAGTGGGGAGGGTTGGAATGGGCAAGAAAGGCTGTTTTGAGAGGGAGAAAAGCAGCAGCAGAAGCAGCACGAAAGGGAGTAGAAGCTGCAGCAGGAGAATCCCCCAGCGGGATAGTTTTCCTCCAGGGGCTTGTGAGCGTGCAGGTGTTGAGTGCGGTGCAGGTGCATGTGGGGGAGGTGGGGAGGTGTATGGAGGAGCTTGAGACGTGGTGGGACGCTGCAGCTCCTACTAGTGTGGATTGCTCTAGGGGAAGAGCTGCTGGCGCGCTGGTGCAGTGCGCACGCTTAGTAGGGCAGCTTAAAACGAGGATAGAGCTCGTGAGGAGAGCGATTGGGCTGGTGGGAGGGGCGGGCAGGGAGGAGGAGGAGGAGGTGGGGAGAGTGGAGGGGAGGTTGGAGAGAGTGGTAGAAGAGGGGGAGGAGATGCAGCGTATGTGGCTGTTCATTAATAATCTTTTGGATGTTATTGCCTCTGTGGAGGGGATTAGGGTTGCGGATTTCAACCCTGAATCGGACTTAACCCCTCTGCACTCCGCCTTGAGCGACGTGAACCAGGAGGAGGAGGTATTCGGGCAGCACGGTGCGTTCCGGGCAGTTCAATCGGCTGCCCGGAAACTAATTGCGAGCCTAGGTCTGGTGTCGAAGCTAGTTAAAGCCTCGCTGCAAGAGGCCCATTGGAGAGCCCTCGCCCGAGCGTTGGGGTTCCAAGCCAAGGGCGGGCTCGGCGCCGGAGGTACCCTGCAGGTTCGGGATCTGGTCCGGGCGCTGGGAGGCTTGGAGGGGCGGGCAGCGGCGGAGCAGGTGTTATCTGCCGTCCAGGGGGAGGTGGCACTGAGACAGTTTATGGATAAGGTTGAAAAGGAGTGGGGCGAGCAGGAATGGGCGTTCAAGGGGTTTAGAGACAAGTGGAAAATCGTGGGGAATCTGGGGGTGGTTGGGGAAATGGTATTGGAGCATTTGAGTATGCTGGGGGCAATGAAACAGTCTCCCTTCTTCCCGCCGTTTAGAGAGGCTGTGAGGGAGTGGGAGGGGCGGCTGGGGCGGCTGAGTGAGCTGGTGGATGCCCTAGCAGACGCGCAGTCCAAGTGGGTCCGTTTGGAAGCACTCATGACGTCACCTGCCGTCCGGTCGATGCTACCTGATACACACCGCGCCTTCCACGAAGCTTCCCTCCCGTTCACGGGGTTTTTGGGGTCGCTCGCCACCCGCCCTCTTGCGATCGACCTGGTGGGTTTGGCGGAAGAGGACGACGGTGCCGGGCGGCGAGTTTTGGCGGTTTGTGCGGAGGTGTTTGGGCGGGTGCTTTTGGAGGTTCAGGCGCATCTGGACAAACAGAGGCGGATGCTGCCAAGGCTGTACTTCCTGGGAGACGATGATCTGCTGCAGCTCATCTCCGCATCGCCCTCAGACCTCTCTGCAGTAAGTATGTGTATGTGTATGTGTGTGTGTATGTGTGTGTGTGTGTGTGTGTGTATGTGCGTGTGTGTGTGTGTGTGTGTGTGTGTATGTGTGTGTGTGTGTGTGTGTGTGTGTGATATGGTTTATGTGTGTGCGGATGCTGCCAAGGCTGTCCTTCCTGGGCGATGACGATCTGCTGCAGCTCATCTCCGAATCGCCCTCAGACCTCTCTGCTGTACGTATATGTCTCTGTGTCTGTGTATGTGTATGTGATATGGTTTATGTGTGTGCGGATGCTGCCGAGGCTGTACTTTCTGGGCGGTGACCATCTGCTGCAGCTCATATTTGCATCGCCTTCGGACCTGTCGGCAGTATGCTCTGGTTCAGTATGAGTATGTGCATGTTTTGAGTCTACTCAAAACACGATTCAGTATGAGTATGTGCAGTATTTCCATTCCCCTCTCTGTTGGAATGGTTGTACTTCCTACGGGATGACAATCTTTTGAGGCGCCTCACAAGCCGGAACTCTCGGCAGTATGCTCTGGTTCAGTACGAGTACGTGCATGTTGGAATGGTTGTACTTCCTACGGGATGTCATTCCGTGCGCCCCTCCCATCCTCCCTCCACTCCCCCTTCCCCCTCTCTACCCTCACACCCTGGTCATCCCTATCAGGTGCACGTGCACATTCGAAAGCTCTTCACAGCAGTCTCGGGCATTGAAGTATCGGCAGTCTCTGATACCATTTTGCCAGAGAAGAGTACAGCAGAGGATTTAGTAGTGACACCTTCAGGAGACGCAGGGAAGAGAGTATTTATCACGGCAGCTCTTTCCGACGGGGAGAGGCTCGTGCTGCACCGACCAGTGGAGCTTGTGGAAGGTTCTGCCACGTCAGCGGATGCCACGTCAGCGGGTGCCACGTCAGCGGAAGGACAGAAGCCTGCAGGAGCCACCAAGTGGCTGCTGGATCTCGACGTGGCGCTGCGGACGACTCTGAGCGACCTGGTAGTGTCAGCGGTCGCTGAGCTGGCTGCGTGTGACTGGCTGTTCACTGCTGGAGCTGGGAAGCAGGAGAAGAGCAAATGGAGCGGGAAGAAGGGAAGAGCCGGCGGAGTGAGGATGGGCGGTAGCAGCAGGAGGAACGGAGGAAGGTTCCTCGAGTGGCTGGGGAAGCTGCCTTTGCAGCCGGCGCTGCTGGCTCTACAGGTGAGCTGGACGGCACTAGTTGAAGGGATTCTGACAGGCGAGGGAGGAGAAGGAGGAAAGGAGGGCGGAGAAGGCGGAGGGGAAGGGGTGCAAGGAAAGGGAGGGAAGGAAGCAGGGATAGAGGCGCTGGTGCGTGGGCTGGAGGGGCTTCTGCAGTGGCTGGCTTGCGCTGTGAGGGAGAGGAGAGAGCTAGCAGGAGGGGCAGGTGGGGCAGGGAGTGCAGGCGAAACAGGGAGAGCAGCAGGGGGAGTAGGAGGGGCAGCAGGTGGCGAGGAAGGGAGGCTAATGGAGGCGAAGTGTGAGGCGGTGATCACTGTGCTGGTTCATCTGCTGGAGAGCAGTAAGGCGCTGCTGGTGGAGCAACGGCAGGAGCAGGCACGATCAGAGAAGGAGGAGGAGGAGGAGGATAAGGAGAATATGGAGTGTGCAGGGCAGCAGAAGCAGAAGCAGAAGCGGAAGGAGAGGAAGCAACACGGGCTCTCTCTCTCCTCCTTTGCCTGGCGGAAATGCCTCCGATACTACCTCAACCCCTCCCTCCCTCCCCTCAGCCGCCTCTCTGTTCAAATCGCAGACGCCTCTTTCACCTACGGGTTTGAATACTCTGGCTGTACTCCCTCCCTCGTCCGCACCTCCCTCACGGACCGCTGCTTCCTCGCACTTTCCCAAGCGCTCTGGCACGGCCAGGGTAGCGCTCTGATTGGCCCAGCCGGCACGGGGAAGACGGAGACTGTCAAGGCGCTCGGGCGGCAGCTCGGGCGGCCGGTTTTGGCGTTATCCTGTGATAGGAGTTTTGATAGTGCGGCGGTGGGGCGGGTTTTGGAGGGAGTGGCGAGGCTGGGCGCGTGGGGGTGCATGGATGAGTTCAACCGGTTGGACGAGAGTACAATGTCTGCAATTTCACAACATCTGGTGGCCATTCAGGGCGCGCTGAGGGAGGGAAGGAGGGAGGCCGTGCTGGCTGGCACTACCGTGCCTGTCCACCCTGCTACTGGTGAGTGGGTGGGTGGAAGAATCCCCTTCCGATTCTGCTGTGTGTGCTCTGAGAGAGTGAGTGTCTGAGTGGGGTTGAGAGGGCGCCTGGGTGCGAGTGGGGCGGGTGTATGGGTGTGTGGGGCACCTGGAGGGAGTGGCGAGACTGGGCGTGTGGGGGTGCATGGATGAGTTTAGTCGGTTGGATGAGAGTACAATGTCTGCGATCTCGCAGCACCTGGTGGCGATTCAGGGCGCGCTGAGGGAGGGCAGGAGGACGGCCGTGCTGGCTGGGACTTCTGTGCCCGTGCACCCTGCTACTGGTGAGTGGGCGTGGGGGGGGTTGAGCGGGCACCTGTGTGCCAGTGGGGATTTTGCTGTTGTGTGTGGACGGCTGTGTGTGCGCTGCAAGACTGTCAGTACCCCTTTCCCTTGCTCACCCTCCCTTCATCTCCCTCCAATTTATTTTTTGTGACGCTCAACCCGCGCTATGTAGGCAGGGACCACCTGCCTGAGAGCCTCTCTGCCCTGCTTTGAGCCAACTTACAACTGCCTTCTCTCCCTTCCGTCCCTTCCCGTCTCCTCCTCTCCCTACCAGGCATATTCGTGACGCTCAACCCACGCTATGCAGGCAGGGACCACCTGCCTGAGAGCCTCTCTGCCCTCCTGCGGCCTCTGACAGTCGCCACCCCTGATGCATGCGCCATCGCCCATGTCACTCTGCTGTCGTGCGGATTCTCACATGCGGAGAGGCTGGCCGATGCTGCAACTCGAATCTTCCAGGTATGATTTGTGCATGACAGGCGCACAGGCATGCATATATCTCAAAACACATGTGTACAGTGGCAGTCTCCCCCTTGTGATGCATGCGCCTTCGCCCTTGTGACTCTGCTGTCGTGCGGATTCTCGCACGCAGAGAGGCTGGCCGATGCTGCAACTCGCATATTCCAGGTATGCAGGCTCACAGTCACAGGCACACACACAGCAGGGGATACATAAATACAGTCCCCCCCTCGTGATGTGATGCATGCGCCATCGCCCATGTGACTCTGCTGTCGTGCGGATTTTCGCATGCAGAGAGGCTGGCTGAAGCTGCCACTCGTATATTCCAGGTATGAAGAAATGATACGCACATGCTGCAGACACACACACGCGCGCATGCAATACACATGCGGCTCCTCACAGTCGCCACTCCTGATGCCTGTGCCATCGCCCATGTCAATCTGCTCTCGTGCGGGTTTTCGCACGCGGAGAGGCTGGCCGATGCTGCCACCCGCATATTCCAGGCATGGCTGGTGTGGGTGTGTGCATAAACATGTACTAGCACAGGAATGCATGGATAGTGTATACCCCTGATGCATGCACCATCGTCCGTGTGACTCTGCTGTCGTGTGGATTCTCGCATGTTGAAAGGCTGGCTGATTCTGCCACTCGCATTTTCCAGGTGTGTGTGAATGCACAAGTACACGCACTCTGACAAGCACATGAACGCACACATACATTCAGTGTCTCCCTCTTGTGATGCGTGTGCCATCGCCCATGTGACTCCGCTGTCGTGCTGGTATTCGCATGCGGAGAGGCTGGCTGATGCTGCAACTCGCATCCTCCAGGTATGGCTGGTGCTGGTGCTGGTGCTGGTGCTGGTGCTGGTGCTGGTGCTGGTGCTGGTGCTGGTGCTGGTGCTGGTGCTGGTGCTGGTGCTGGTCCTCTCTGGTTGCCAGTTCCTTTTCCAGCAGTCAGAGGAGTGCATGGCCCCCCAACCCCAGTACGACTTGAGCCTCAGAGCGCTCAAAGCCACTCTTAACACCCCCAAATGTGTTTCCCCTTGAAACTCTTCTTTATCCCGCCCACACTTTTTTTTTCTTCCTCCAGGAGTCCGAGGAATGCTTGGCCCCCCAGCCTCAGTACGACTTCAGTCTGAGAGCGCTCAAAGCCACTCTCAAACCGGCTAGGTCCGCCATGCTTGCTCTCTCATTCCCTCATTTCCTTCCTTCCTCTTCACCCCTTTTGTCTACCTTGCCCCGCAGGAGTCTGAGGAATGCTTGGACCCCCAGCCTCAGTACGACTTCAGTCTGAGAGCGCTCAAAGCAGCTCTGAAATCTGCAAGGTCCATTATGCTGGCGCAAACAGAATTGGAGGGGGGCGCGAGTGAGAATGAGAGTAAGGAGAGGAAAGAGGAAGTGGAAGAAGGTGCGATTGAGGTTGAGAGCAAGGGGATGAGCGAGGTAGTGGAAGGGGGTGCGATTGAGCGTGAAAAGGAAGGGAGGGAAAGTGGTATGGAGGAGGTGTGTGAGGGAGAGATGGAGGTGAAGGGTGAGGAGGGTAGGGAGGAGGGATGTGTGGAAGAGGAGGAGGGGGGAAGTGTGAGATCAGAGGAGAAAGAGGAGTTTTACGAGACAGAGGATGGGGAGCAAGGGGTGGATGAAGAGGGGAAGGAGGAGGTGAGGCAGGAGGAGGAGGAGGAGGAGGAGGAGGAGGAGGAGGAGGAGGAGGAGGAGGAGGAGGAGGAGGAGGAGGAGGAGGAGGAGGAGGAGGAGGAGAAGAAGGAGGAGGAGAAGGAGGAAGGGGAGGAGCCGGAGGTGAGAGAGGAGGTGTTGCAGGTGGAAGAAACAGAGGAGGGAGAAGGGGACGGAGAGGAGGACATAGTAAAGGAGGTAAAGGAGGAGGTAGAGGAGGAGGAGGAAGAGGACGAAGGGGCCCACCGTGTGTCGAGATGGCCGTTGGAATCCCGATCCCTGGTCCAGGGCATTTTCGGCCAGCTGGCAGCCAAGCTGGCACCTGCTGACGTGGCAACCTTTCGGGAGGTGGTTTCCCGGAACCTTCCGGACGTCACTGTGGAGGAGACGGGCGATGCTGAGCTGGCAGCGGCGGTGGAGGCCGTGTGTGAGAGGGAGGGGTACGTGGCGAGCTGTGATTGGACGAGGAAGGTGCTGCAGATGGCGCGGCTGATGGGGCTGCATCAGGGGATCATGCTGGTGGGCCCGCCTGCTGGGAAGACCACTGCTTGGAGAGGTGAGGAGGGGTGAAGATGGGTGGAGATGGGTTGGGAGGGGTGATGATGGGACGGCGATGGGTGGTAAGGGGTGAGGAGGGATGATGAGAGGTGAGGACGAGAGGGATGGGTCTGCATTAGGGGATCATGCTGGTGGGACCGCCTGCTGGGAAGACCACTGCTTGGAGAGGTGAGGAGCGGTGAAGAAGCATGGAGATGGGTGATGATGGGCTGGGGGAGTGATGATGATGTTGCGGGGATGAGTGGAAAGGGGTGTCTGTGACAGTGGTGGATCCCAAAGAGTCTGTCCCCTCGCTTCCTCTGCTTCCCTGCCTCGCTTCCCTGCCTCAAGCGGTGTGCAGGTGTCGGTGACAGTGGTGGATCCCAAGAGTCTGTCCAAGGAGGCACTGTTTGGGAGCGTTGGGACCACCACCCTCTCCCTCTTTTCCCCTGCCTCGCCTTTATTCCGTGTGTGCAGTGCTTCGCAAAGCATTGGAGGCATCACAAGGAGACCAGGTGTCGGTGAGTCGGTGACAATGGTGGACCCAAAAAGTTTGTCCAGGGAGGCGCTGTTTGGAAGTGTGGAAGCCACCACGCGGGAGAGGAGTGGCAGGGCGGCGTGTTCACCCAAGCCTCTTCTCTCTTCCCCCTTCGTCTGTTCACTCTCTGCAGTGTTGCGCAAAGCATTGGAAGCATACCAAGGAGTGCAGGTGGCGGTGACAGTGGTGGACCCCAAAGAGTCTCTCCAAGGAGGCGCTGTTTGGGAGTGTGGAAGCCACCACGCGGGAGAGGAGTGGCAGGACGGCGTGTTCACCCAAGCCTCTTCTCTCTTCGCCCTCTTTCTTCTCCCCTGTCTCTCCTCCCTGTCTGCAGTGCTGCGTGAGGCCTTACAAGTGACAAGCGGAGTGCAGGTGTCGGTGACAGTGGTGGACCCCAAAGAGTCTCTCCAAGGAGGCGCTGTTTGGGAGCGTAGAGGCCACCACGCGGGAGTTGATGGACGGCGCGTTCATCCCAAGTCTCTTTTCTCTCTCCTCACCTCCTCCTCCCCCCATTCTCTACCCTGTGTGCAGTGCTGCGTGAAGCCTTACAGGCATCGCAAGGTGTGCAGGTGTTGGTGACAGTGGTGGATCCAAAGAGTCTGTCCAAGGAGGCGCTGTTTGGGAGCGTGGAGGCAACCACTCGGGAGTGGCAGGACGGCGTGTTCACCCGGGCTTTAAGGGCCGTTGTGCGGGAGTATGAGGAGGAGAGGGAGCGGGCGGCGGCTGTCGAGGCGCATGAGAGGGCTTTAAGGGCTGTCGTGCGGGGGTCTGAGGAGGAGAGGGAGCGGGCGACTGGAAGAGAGGAGGTGGCGGAAGGGGCGGAAGGGGGGGAACCGGAGAGTGAGAGGGAGAGGAGGGAAGGGATGGAAGGGGAAGGGGAGCAGGGCGATGGAGGGGAGATGCAGCAAAGAACAGGAGGGAATGCGGGGAGGGGCGTGGAGTGGCGGCGGCGGCACTGGTTTGTGTTTGACGGGGAGGTGGATCCCATTTGGATTGAGACGCTCAACTCGCTGCTGGACGACAATAAGGTGAGAGAGGGAGGATTGGGTGGGGTGGGGTGTGAAGGGGCGACACAAGGTGGGGTGAGGCAGGGAGGCGGTGGCACTGGTTTGTGTTTGATGGGGAGGTGGATCCCATCTGGATCGAGACTCTCAACTCGCTTCTGGATGATAACAAGGTGAGCAAGGGAAGGCGGCGGCACACCAAACAAAGGTGGTCAGCTCATTGCTGGACAAGGGATAGCGCTGGTTTGTGTTTGACGGCGAGGTGGACCCCATTTGGATCGAAACGCTCAACTCGCTGCTGGATGATAACAAGGTGAGAGAGGGAAGGCGGCGGCACACAAGACAAAGGCGCTCACTCACTGCTGGACAAGGGGTGGCACTGGTTTGTGTTTGAGGGGGAGGTGGATCCCATCTGGATCGAAACGCTCAACTCCTTACTCGATGACAACAAGGTGAAAAAGGGAAGGCGGCAGCACAAAAGACAAAGGCGCTCACTCACTGCTGGACAAGGGGTGGCACTGGTTTGTGTTTGATGGAGAGGTGGACCCCATCTGGATTGAGACGCTCAACTTGCTGCTGGACGATAATAAGGTGAGGCGAGGATAGGTGGGGTGGGGCGAGAAGGGGCAATGGCAGATGGGCTAGGCGTGAAAGGGCAACGCAGCGGGGGGGGGAGGAGGGAGATTGCCACTGGTTTGTGTTTGATGGAGAGGTGGATCCCATCTGGATCGAAACGCTCAACTCGCTGCTGGATGATAACAAGGTGAGGCGGGGCGTGGGATGTAGGCGCAAGGTGGGGAAAGGCATGGAGTGGTGGCAGAGGGTTACACTGGTTTGTGCTTGACGAAGGAGGTGGACTCTGTTTGGATTAAGACGCTCAACTCACTGTTGGACTGGATGATAGCAAGGTGAGGCAGTGAGGTCGTTTGTAAAGAGGATAATGGGTGTAGGTGCAGGCACATGAAAGTCTGTCTTTCCTACCCCAAGTGCACTGCACCTTCCAGATGCCCCATTGCGCACTCCTTCGCCTTGTGGGTCGACTCAAAACGTTGCTCACTCCTTCGCATTGGCCCTCTGTCCCCCTGCGCCCCCTTCCCCTTACATTCAGGTTATGACTCTGCCAACAGGAGAACGCCTGCCGCTCCTCCCCCACATGCACTGCATATTCGAGTGCCCCTCCCTCGCCCACGCCACCCCTGCCACCATCTCTCGTCTCGGGGTAGTCTGCTTCCCCCCTCCCTCTTCACCGTTCCACCTACTTCTCCCCTTCGCCCCCTCCCTCCCCTGCCACCCAACAGGTTATGACGTTGCCAACAGGGGAGCGCCTGCCTCTCCTCCCCCACATGCACTGCATATTCGAGTGCCCCTCTCTCGCCCACGCCACTCCTGCCACCATCTCTCGTCTCGGAGTGGCCTGCTTCCCCCCCTCCCTCCTCTCCCTCCCCATGCTTCTCCACCGCTTCCGCTTCCTCCTCCCCCCCATGCCCTTCCCCGCGCCCTCCTCCTCCTCCCCCTCCTCTTCCTCGCTTTCCCCTCTCCCTCCCTCTCTCTCAACCACAACAACACCTGCACCAGCTACCCCCGCTACCACCACCCCCACTACTATCTCTTCTTCCCACTCCTCCCACTCCTCCCTCACCTCCTCGCTCTTCTCACAACCGCTCTTCCTCCCCTCGCGCCTCTCCCTCGGGATTGACGCGCCAGACGAGCATCTGGAGCTGCTGCCGCCCGGCCTGCCACAGCCGCTGCTACAGCCGGTGCTGGCTGTGGCTCTGGCGGCGCTACAGCCGGGCGGGCTGCTGCAGCAGGCTCTGGAGGCTGCTGCTACTGTCACAGGCGCTGGTACTGCTGCTACAGCTGTCACTGCTACAGCCGCTACAGCTGCTGCAGCTGTTGCAAGAGCCGGTTTTGCTGCAGGTTCGGCCGAGGCAGATTCCATTCCTTTTGATTCCATGCGTGCCCTTCGCTCGGTGTTCCTGTACTACTGTTACCGAACCTCGGACCTCTACCGAACCTCCATCTCCCAAGCCACGCCTTCCAAGAGTGATGCGCTTGAAACAGCAGGTGTGCGGAGCGGTGAAGGGGGGGTGAAGGGAGGTGCGAATGGGTCTATTGCGGTGGTGGGGAGATTTACTAGGAAAGCAATGGTAGAGGCGATTATGGCAGGGGTTGCAGGAGGAATGGGTGTTACCTCTCGCTCTGCCTTTGCAGACCGATTAGCTGGTATTTTGGCGTCGGACGGTGAGGGAAAGAATGAAGTGTCGTGTCGTGCCACGCCAGAGCAGCTGCTGAGCTGTTTCGCTGACGTGGCGAGCGGGCATTGGAAGCCGTGGGAGGCTGCCCTGCCGAGATTGGCTGATGCTGATGCTGCTGTTGGGGGGTGTTTCGGGGATGAGGGGGAGGAGGAGGGAGAGGAGGAAAGTGTGGAGGAAGAGGAGAGGAGTACGAGTTACAGAAGGGTGAGTTCTGTGTCTGGTCGGAGCAATGGCAGTATGAGTGCTACAAAGCAGGGTAGTAGACAGGTGAAGGGTCCAGCAGGGAAGGCAAGAAGAGAAGGACGAGGAGGATCAGGAGGAGGAGGGGTAAGAGGAGCAGGAGCAGGAGCAGGAGGAGCAGCAGTTGCAGGAGTAGCGGCAGGAGCAGGAGGGGGAATAGATTCAACCACTGTTATCCCCACAGCAGAGACAGAACGGTTGGGTGCGGTGATCCGGGCCAGTCTCGCCCAATCACAGCCCATCTTGCTGTGTGGGCCGCCCGGGAGCGGGAAGACCCTCGCGCTGACAGCTGTCGCGCAGGCATTGGCTGCTGCTGGCGCTGACGAGGCACAGGCTGCTGCTGCCGCCGCCGCTGCTGCAGCTGGTGCTGCTGGTGGTTTGGGTGCAGCTAGTGCTGGTGCTGGTGGTGCTGGTGCTGGTGGTGGGACGGGGATGCAGCAGCGAAAGGGGAAGCTTTCGCAGCAGCAGCAACAAGCGAGCAAGCAATCGGCAGAGGCCGAGGCGGCGGCAGCGGCAGGGCCAAAGCTCCACGTGGCAGCCTTCAATTTGTCGCTGTCGACATCCCCTGAGTCGTTTATCGCTGAGCTGGAGCAGCACTGTCGGTATGTCAAGCTCCCTGCTGGTGGTGCTCGTGGTGCTGGTGGTGTTGGTGTTGGTGCTGCTGGTGGGTCACACGAAACAGCAGCAGCAGCAGCAGCAGCAGCAGCAGCAGCAGCAGGAGTGGTTTCGACATCAGCATCAGCATCAGCATCAGCAGTGGCAGCAGCAGCCGCCACTTCCAGCATCAACTGGGCGCTAGAGCCTAAGGACCCAGTACCAGCAGACGGCCGTCTGCTGCTATTGTTAGATGAGGTGAATCTCCCCGCCCCTGACGCTTTTGGCACCATCCGCATGGCCGGCCTGCTTCGGCAGCTAGCGGAGCCGCAGCTGATTCCGCAGGCGGCGGGTGGGGTGGGTGGTGGCAGCGGGGAAAGCAGCAGGAATGGCGATACGCACGGCAGCAGCAACAGTAACGGTGGCAGTGGTGTTGGTAGTGGTGCTAGCAGTGGTAGTAGTAGCAGCAGTGGAGGGAGCGGTGGGTATGCCTATGGGTTCTGGCACCCCAAGAGGCGCGTTTGGGTGCAACTGAGGCGGGTGTCATTTGCAGCGACCTGCAATCCGGCTTCAGACGTTGGCAGGCATGAACTACCTGTACGCCTTACAAGGCATCTCACTGTTGCTCATGTTCCGTTCCCATCCGGCGCGGCTCTGAAAAGGATCTACAGCACCTTTATAAGGGGGATATTGGCCCGGTACGGGGCTGGGGTGGCAGCGGAGGCGCAGGCGGATCCTCAGGTGGTTTCTCAGGTGGGATCTCAGGTGGGTCCTCAGGTGGATTCTCAGGTGGATTCTCAGGTGGGTGCGATCCTGGCAGCGGCGATGGTGGAGGTGTATGAGGCGTGTGGGGCGAGGTTCACCCGGGCAGTGCAGCAGCACTACGTGTGCAGTCCTAGGGAGCTCACCAGGTGGACTAGAGGCATCCGATTCGCTCTGGTGCATGGGCAGAAAGCGGTTAAGAGGGGTACGGGGGGAACGGGAGGCGAGCGGACGGAGAAAGGGGCGGTTGAGAGGGGTGACAAGGGTGGAGTGAGTGGTAAGAGTGGTAAGGGGCGTGTGGGCGCTGGTAGTGCTGGTGGCGATGCGAGATTGGGCTCTGGTGGGGGGGTGACTGGAGCAACAAGTGCAAATACAGGCGCTGGTGCTTCTATAGGTGGTGATGGGGAGAGCAGCTGGGCGGCAAGGCTTGTCCTGACGTGGCTGCATGAGGGGATGCGGATCTGGTATGACAGGCTGGTGGGGGAGGAAGAGAGGGAGTGGACGGCGAAGCTGCTTTTGCGGGTGGCAACAGAAAAGATACTCCCTATGCTCGTGCCTCTTGTAGGGAATTCCCTTGTAACGAGTACAGGGAATCCTGTTGCTGTTGCTGATGGTGTTTCTGATAGTGTTTCTGCCACGCCTTTCTCGCTACCTGCCGACCCGAGCCGGTTGGTGTTTTCGTCTCTTCTGACGGGGCGGTACGAGCCGTGCGCAGTGAGCCACCTGAAAAAGCACTTGAAGTGGGCCCTGACAGGGGAGGTCCCGGATGCTGCAGGAGGGACAGGTGCTGGCCAGGTGAAACCAGGTGTTTCTTCAGGTGCTGGGGCAGCAGAAAAGGGCGGGGACAGGAGAGGAGGAGCAGGAAATCGGGCAGCAGGCAGCAGAACAGGGGAGGTGGAGGAGGAAATGGGGAGGAAGGTTTTGGAAGAATTGGAAGAATTGGGGGTGGAGAAGGGGGAGGAGAATGGGAGGGAGGTGCAAGCGGGGGAGGTGGTATTGACTGATGAGTTTGTGTGTGCGGTGGTGAGAGCAGCGTCGGTGCTGCAGCAGCCCATGGGGCACCTGCTGCTGCTTGGTCCTCCTGCAACTGGAAAGTCTACTGTTGCCAGGTGGGTGTGACGCATTTCTGTTTGCTTGTGTGTGTGTGATCGCTGTGATGGGATTGGTGGAGGGGCGGGTGGCGCTCCCTCCATGTGCTTCCTTGGTTGCCCTCTCCTCTTACCCACTGTGCCTTCCCAATTCTGCATGCAGATGTGCGATTGCTGCGAGGGGATTGGTAGAGGTGCGGGTGGCTCTGCACGCAGGATCCGAGGTCCTTCTGTGGCTCCAACCTTGAACCCTAAATGCATCCCTCTCCTCTCCTCCTCATAACCCTTGCTGGCCAATCACATGCTCGCAGATCCGCAATCGCTGCGACGGGATTGGTGGAGGTGCGGGTGGCGCTGCACGTGGGATTGGAGGTCCTTCCTTTGTTCCCACCCTAAACCCTAAATGCCTCCCTCTCCTCTCCTCCTCATCACCCTTGCTGGCCCAACAAACTCAGGTCGGCGATTGCTGCGACGGGATTGGTGGAGGTGCGGGTGGCGCTGCACGCAGGATTCGAGGAGCGCGAGCTGGACGGCCCGCTGGAGGAGGCGCTGCGGGCGGCAGGGTGCGACGGGCGGCGCGCTTGTCTTGTTCTGGAGGAGGCGCATCTGGTGGAGAGTGCCGTCTTGGAAAGGCTCAACTCGCTTCTCACAGGGGGGGATGTTCTTGGGCTGTTTGGAGCAGAGAAGCAGCAGGTGAGACAGGGTGTTTGGCCGGCAGTAGCATTATAAAACCTCTTTGTCTTCTTCTGGGGGAGGCGCATCTGGTGGAGAGGGCTGTCTTGGAAAGGCTCAACTCGCTGCTCCTCATGCAGGTGGGGGGGACGTTCTTGGGCTGTTTGGAGTGGAAAAGCAACAGGTGAGGATTTTGAGAAGTCGTAAGAGCAGTGCTTGAGAGTTGGTTGCTGGGGTGTTTGGGGCAGAGAATCAGCAGGTGAAACGGCTGAGACGTCCCACCCTGAACCACACCCCTCTTTCCCTGCAGGAGCTGCTGGAAGCCCTCCGGCTGGCCGGCGAGGCGGAGGGAAGCGAGGAGGCAGCATGGGCAGCCTTCAGGAGGAGGGTCCAATCCAACCTGCACGTGGTGCTGACGATGACCAGCCAGGGCAGCGCGCACATGCGACAGAGCATGCTGGCGTCGCCAGCCCTCTTCAACCGCTGCACCGTGCTCTGGCTGCCGCCCTGGGGGGACAAGGGTCTGGCTCCGCTTGCTCGGAGTCGCCTCGCCGGTGTTTCGCTGGTTCACCCTGTCTCAGCCGCAGCCGCAGCAGCAGCAGCAGGAGGAGGAGGAGGAGCAGGAGCAGGAGCCGCAGCGGCAGGAGGAGCAAGAGGAGGAGGAGGAGATTTGGAGCAGAGTAGTATTTTGGCGGATGCCGTGGGTGGTGGTTCTGGGGAAGCGAAGGAGAGGCAGGTGTTGGCGGAGCTTCTGGTGGCAATTCATGGCTGCGCTGTTAGTGCTGTTAGCAAGTCGCTCAATAACAGAGCTTTCGGGAAGGCTGGGCTGGGAGGGGAGCAGCAGCAGGAGGGAAGCTTGCAGCATTCCTTCTCCCCAGACTCTCTCATCTCCCTCCGTTCCTTCTCGGACCTCCTCACCCACTTCCACTCCTCCGTCTCCCACTCGCACCGCCGGGCACACCGCACCTTCCAGCACCTCTCCCTGGGCCTCAGAAAGGTCACGGCCGCAGAGCACCGCGTGGTACTCCTCCGAAAACACTTGGAGCTCAAATCGAAAGAGCTCCAAGTGAAAGAGGCTGCTGCGAACGGGAAGTTACAGCAGATTGCGGCAGAGCAGGCGCTAGGGGAGAGACAGAGGGCGGAGGCTCAGGGGCTGATTGCGAGGCTGGATGAGCAGGCGAGGAGCGTGGAGAGGCATAGGAGGGAGGCGCAGGAGAATCTGGAGCGCGTTGAGCCGGCGGTTGATGCGGCGAAAACGGCGGTGAAATCGATAAGGAAATCCCAGCTGGACGATTTGAAGGCCATGCCGAATCCACCGAGCGCGATTAAACTGGTGAGTGGTTCTGTGTGTATGTATGAGCCAATTGGAGTGAGAGGCAGAGAGCGGCGGAGCAGGCGCTAGGAGAGAGGCAGAGGAAGGAAGCGCAGGGGCTAATTGCGAGGTTGGACGAGCAGGCGAGGAGCGTGGAGAGGCATAGGCGTTGAGCCGGCGGTTGATGCTGCGAAAACGGCGGTGAAGTCGATCAGGAATTCGCAGCTGGATGATCTCAAGGCCATGCCGAATCCTCCCAGTGCCATCAAGCTGGTGAGTGGTTGGTGGGTGTGTGTGTGAAAGCCTGTGTCGGGCTGCCTATGTGTGCCTGCTCAGAAGCGGATATATGCTGATTGGAGTGAATTTGGAGCGTGGAGCGTGGAGAGTCACAGGAGGGAGGCGCAGGAGAATCTTGAGAGGGTTGAGCCGGCGGTTGATGCAGCGAAAACGGCAGTTAAGCCGATAAGGAAGTCGCAGCTGGATGATCTCAAGGCCATGCCGAATCCACTGAGCGCGATCAAGCTGGTGAGTGCGTCTGTGTGTGCGTGTGCCTGCCTGTGAAAGCCCGTGTCTGCCTGTGTGAGCCTGTTCAGAAGCGTGTATGTATGGATTGATTGGATCAAAGTGAATCTTGAGAGGGTTGAGCCGGCGGTTGATGCGGCGAAAACGGCGGTGAAGTCGCAGCTGGATGATCTCAACGCCATGCCAAATCCACCGAGCGCCATCAAACTGGTGAGTGGTTCCGTGTGCCTGGTGGTGTGCCCGTGTGTGCTTGTTCAAGCAACCCAAGACGGCGGTGCAGTCGATAAGGAAGTCACAGCTGGATGATCTCAAGGCCATACCCAACCCGGCCAGTGCCATCAAACTGGTGGAGTGCATCTGTGTGTACCTGGTGGTGTGCCGGTGTGTGCCGGAAAGTGGCGATGCTAGCAACCACAAGAGCGGAGAAGTCACAGCTGGATGATCTCAAAGGCCATGCCCAACCCGCCGAGCGCGATTAAGCTCGTGAGTGCTGGAAGGAGTGTGTCTCCTGCTGACGGGCTTGAAGGCCACCACGAGGCAGAGCATTCTCTCTGAGGTGCGCCAAAACCACTTCATCCCCTCCCCTCCCCCTCCCTCCTGTCTCCTCCAATCCCCTGTCTGCACCTATCCCCTTCCCCACCCACCAACACCAGACTCTCGAGGGTGTGTGTCTCCTGCTGATGGGCTTGAAGGCCACCACGAGGCAGAGCATTCTCTCTGAGGTGCGCCAAAACCACTTCATGGCCCCTCCCTCTCTCTCCCCCTTCCCCACCCTTCCCCACTCTCCCGCCCACAACAGCAGACTCTAGAAGGCGTGTGTCGCCTCCTGACAGGACTAAAGCCCACCACGTGGCAGGGCATTCTCTCTGTCGTGCGGCGAAACGACTTCATCCCCTCCCCTCCACTCTCTCCCACCGTCCCCCCCTTCCCTCTCCCCCCTCCACCCTTAAAACACCAGACGCTAGAAGGCGTGTGTCTGCTGCTCACGGGTTTGAAGCCCACCACGTGGCAGGGCATTCTCTCTGTGGTGCGCCGAAACGACTTCATCCCCTCTATACTGGGATGCGATATGGAGGCCATTGATCCGGTGCTGGTGCTGCGGGTGAAGAGAGAGTATCTGGACGCACGGGTGATCTCCTTTGATGCTGTCAACAGGTGAGTAAGCAAGCATGAGGTATGGAGGTGAAGATGTGAGGTGAACCCCTAGGTACTCACCACAAGAAGCATCCAATCTATACACTCATTCGATGCAACATGGAGGCCATAGACCCTGTGCTGGTGCTGCGCGTGAAGAGAGAGTACCTGGACGCGCGAGTGATCTCATTTGATGCCGTCAACAGGTGAGCATGCGATATGGAGGTGAGTGTGTGAGATGAACCGAAGCACTCACCGCAGATAGCGTGTCCTTTATACTCTCGTACAATGCAATGCGGTATGGTGGCCATAAATAAACCCCGCCCTGGTGCTGCGGGTGAAGAGGGAGTACCTGGACGCACGAGTGATCTCCTTTGATGCTGTCAACAGGTAAGCATGCTTGTTGAACCCAGCTAGTTCCTTCAAGAAGCAGCCCCTCGATACTGGGATGCACAGTGATATGGAGGTCACCGACCCCGTGCTGGTGCTGCGCGTGAAGAGGGAGTACCTGGACGCGCGAGTGATCTCCTTTGATGCTGTTAATAGGTGAGAGAGAGAGAGAGAGAGAGAAGCAAGGGACTTACTCTCTTGGTGTTTCTGGTTGGTGTTCATTTGGTGTTTCTGATTTTTCCGGTTCTCTTCGTTCAAGAGAGCGAGAGAGAGAGAAGCAAGGGACTTAGTCTCTTCCCTCCTAGGCTCATCCCCTCTCTTCCCCAGCTATATAAGGGCCCCTTGGCCTTCTCTCAAGCTCATTCTTCATTTGGTGTTTCTGTTTTTTCCGGCGCTTCGCGCCGGCGCTCGCGGGCGCGGCCTGCGGCCGCGCGCTTGGGACGACAAGGACAAAAACAAGGACGGCTAGATGACGGAAAAAACAACAACCATGGCAGACAACGACAACTAGACAAGCTACCATGGAACGGGTCTACACACGCGCGAGGGGGCCGCCTACATGCGGTCCGCCCCAAGCTCACCAAGCATTTCGCGCGTGGTCAGCCACATCTGGCGGACCACTGACGCGGTGGCGCCGACAACGTCAACAGGAGTTCCACGAGTTGCTACAAGGGTCCTCAGACCCAGGGCCGTCTCAGCCAGCAGGGTGGCCGAGACTACTCCCGGCGAGGGCGCGACCTGCAGTGGCGATACGAACGAGAATAATGCTGACGCCGCCGCGTGACACCTTGCTCGCGGCATCTGAGAGAACGTGCTCGGCGGGGTCTCCAACATGGAGCCATGCGACTCCTGGAGAATCAGTTCAAGACTCTGCAGGCACTCCGCCAACGACCACAAGTGCGCCAGGGTCGCCGTGGGCACTGGCTTCATCTGCGGGGGGAATGCAGACGCGCGAGATCGGCGAGCCGACACTGCCAGATCACGAGGAGCAGGGAGGGGACGTGGCGGAGCGAACTGGGCCCACGGGTCCCCGCCACCCGCGCCAACAAAGCCAGTCCCCGCAGGCAGCGGACGAACTGAGCGCGCTGGGGATCCCACAGGATTATGGGGCAGGAGCGCGGCGAGAGGAGCGACTGGAGCAGCGGGAGGAGCAGATTGCGAGGACGACCCCGCATGGGAGCGGTGGAGAGCTTTCTCCACACCGTCCAATTTCTTCAGGACTTGCTCCATCGCGGATGGCGCTGGACGCGCAGCCCCGCCGCGACCGTAACCCCCCCGTCGCCCACGATGCGCACGCCCACTCGTGGTCGAACGCACAGGCGACTGTGGGCGAGACAGGCCCCGCTGACGCTGGCGGTCAGGGGAACGCTCCGCGCGACGAGGAGAATGGAGCCGCTGGCGCTTCGCAAGAGGGGGAGAACGTGGCGCCAAGGACCGATATCCAGACGCATCACGAGCAGGCGATCGCGGACAGGAGGAGCGGGGAGCGGGAGAACGGTGGCGATACGAGCGGTGGTCACGGGAACGGCTCCGTGACACCTTGCGCCGAGGCAATCGAGGAGACCGCGGTGATCGCGGAGACCGCGGCGGGCGCGAGCCAGTGGGACGGTCGACGTGGCGGCTCTCCCGCCTACCGTCGTGGGCCACCGGCGAACGATGGCGAGGCGGATGCCCCCGGTGCGCCACAGCCTCTGCGCCGGAGCGCGCGACGGACCCCGCACGCGCAGGCTCCCCCAGAGGCAATGATCCGCCTCCGAGCAGACCCAGATCCCGACGCTGATCCTCAAAGCGCCGAAGGATCTCGTCCGCAGCCGCCGGCGGAGCAACAGGCACGCTCGCGGCAGGACGCGCGGGAGGAAGTGGACGGGGAGCAGGATCAACCTCCACGGCGCGGTCACAGCCCAGAGCACCGAGGAAGTCCATCGGCCTCCGCTCAAGGCGCGCCACTGGCCCGGGACGAGCCGATGACTCCGATCTCCCAGGCGCAACAGGCCGCACCAGTGGCCGCCACTCCGAGGAGCGGGCGGGGAAGCACGCGGGGAAGAGGCGGGCGTCGAGGAGCACGCGGAGTACAGCGCAGCGCAGGCCACGCGGCAAGGGGGAACCCCCGCCAGCCACCGAGCCCAATTTGGTTAGGGGAGCCGGCGGAACGAGTCACGCGCCAGTCGTTCGCCAGGCGCGGGGCGAGGGGAGGAAGGACAGCACAAGCAGGGAGAAATGGTGATACAAATGCAGAGGGGAGTGGCGACGAATATGTACCGTCGGATCTGAGGCAACCCGACAATCCCGACTCACCCCGCGCAGAGGCAGGGGCGGAGCAGGCGCAGCTGCAGGAGAGAGGATTGGGCCGCCGACAGAACCGCAGACCCCAACCCCCCCCGGACCAGGCCCTCTCAGCATCCCAGCTGGCATCGATGGACGATCTCTTTGAGATCGCGATGAGCTGGGACTTGTCTACCCTAACATCGACCTCTCACCTGCCTATCGTCCGCCGCCTGCCGCCGCAGATCCTAAGCGACTATTCCACCTGTATGCTGGCAGCGCTCCTACGGATCTCCAAGCTGCCAAACTGCGCGGGAGCTTGGCGGGTCCTCATGTTTCTGCCACGTCTGACCCTACGACTTAGCAGGAGGTCCAGCTCTAGGTGGAAGGTGCTGCGAGAACAAATGCACCTATTCAGATGTGGCCACTGGAACCAGCTGTACAGTGACTACACGGGGTCCCTGCACCAAGCCGAACCACCTCAGCACCAAAATGACCCCCTGGGAATCTGCTCACGAGTGGAGGGGTTGGTGAAACGTGGTAACCTGCGAAAAGCACTGGCAGCCCTCCAACCCTCGCCAGCAGCCCCTGCGACAACCGCGACACTACAGCAGTTGGAATCGAAACATCCCCAACCCCAAATTGACCTGCCCGACTGGGTCCACTCCTACACAACACCCACGCAATTTTCGTGCACCGCGGAAAACTTCTCAAACGTCCTTGGGGATTGCCCCAGCGGTGTTGGGGCTGGTCCATCAGGGTCAACATTTGAACATTATCGCGACCCAGCCCTAAGTAACATCGAAGTACTAGGGCACCTGCACTCCGCCGTAACCCACCTCCTCTCGACAAACCTCTCCGCCGAGGTTGCAGCACTACTCTCGACATCCCGCCTCATTGCATTCGCGAAACCAGGGGGGGGGGTGCGCCCTATAGCGATAGGAGAATCCCTGCTCCGGCTGGCAGCAAAGGTAGCACTCTCAGAACTGCAAGGAGAGACAAGGCGATTTTTCTTACCCCAACAAATTCGGCGTGGCAGTCCCAGGCGGGGCCGAGTTCGTTATCCACGCAGTCAGAGACCTCACCACCTCACAACCATCAAGCCTAGTCCTCCAACTCGACATCGAAAACGCATTCAACTCCGTAGAGAGGATAGCGTTCTTTAACGCACTCACCAACACCCCGCTCGCCCCACTCATTCCCTTCACACGCTCCTTCTATGCGACGCCTTCACAGCTGCTGACCGATCCCCGCTTAAGCACAACGACACTCACCAGTGGTAGGGGAGTTAGGCAGAGGGACCCCCTCGGACCCCTTCTATTCGCGGCTTCAATCCAGCAGCACCTCAGACGCGTAGCAACAGAGCACCCCGAAGTAACGGTCCTAGCATACGCAGATGACATCACCCTGAAAGAACCGGCGACAGCAACGCTAGACGCACTAAAAGTACTGACACCGCTGCTAGCCCAGGACGGCCTCACCTGCAACCTCCAAAAATCGTCGGCATGGTCCTCCTCGCCGATCGAAGGTAACGAGCTCCCTGAGGGCCTTCCCCTCACCCACGAGGGGGTACGGGTGCTAGGAAGCCCTGTGGGGTCACAGCGCTTCTGCGCTGACCTCGTCCGCAGTACCTTGACCGACGCGGCGGCACCCCTGGGCTCCTTAGCATCCATCCATCCACAGCATACCCTCCTACTCCTATCTCGCTGCATCAGCCGCAGAATAGGCTACCTGCTGCGCACCACTCCGGCAGACGCCCTACCTCTCTTAGAATGGCATGCGTGGTGCGCCGAACTGCTCAACACTGCCTTAACCGCCGCCAGCATCCAACCACCACGCCGTGACACAGAGTTCAACTTCCTACTGCGCCAAGCAACCCTCCCAGTAGCACTAAGTGGGCTAGGCCTCACGGACCCCACAACAGAAGCAGCACCAGCCTACCTGGCTTCGACAACAGAGGCGCTACGCCTACTCCGCTCACTTGACCTCCCAGCAACCTCGGCGCTAGGGAGCAACAGCAACGCCCTACAGCCGTCGGCAGCACACTCGGTCACCATCCAAGACATGGAGGGACGACTGCCACCACTGGCACTGCAGATCCTCCGCGGGGAACAGGAATCCCCGTCCCAAGACCAGCTGCAGCGCGCCCTTTCCCAGGAAGTACATGCGGCAAAAGCCGACGGCCTGACAGAGGAATCACGCGCAATCAGGTATGCCCCCGAGTTGGGGCACACACTCCGCCTCGTCAGCCTGAGAGGTGAGGGAGCGGGGGCATGGCTGCAGGCCCTACCCCTGACCCCAGACCTCTGCTTTTCACCAGGGCAATTCCGAACAGCCCTGGCCTTCCGCATGGGCATCCGACAGAACGTACCCACCGTGTGCGAGTGTGGAGAGCTCGTAGCCGACTGCAGCCTCCCCAACCACCTACTCCGCTGCAGCACAGGCCCTGACAGAACACGCACACACAACCAGCTGGCTTTCGCCGTGGCTAAAATGGCGAGGGAGGCACAGCTGGTGGTATACCTGGAGAACGCGATGTACTCACCACCGGATGACCCGAAGAAGGCAGATGTGATTGTACGCGACCCAGACAGTGGTGAGACATGGATCACAGACACGACCATCACTGACCCCGTGCTACAGAACCGTGACCCAGCAGCCCGCAAACCCCCTGGATGGGCTGCAAGGGAGGCTCAGAAAAGGAAGGAACGAGACTACTACAGGCACACAGAACACGTGGTGTTCTGCGCCCTAGCTGTTGAGACCTATGGGGCAAACGCACCCCCCACAACGGCGTTCCTGAAGCTGCTGGCCACAGCAGCAGCTAGGAACCGCTTCAGGGCCAATCCCTTGGCGAAAACCGCCAAGAAAATGGCCTGCCACTTCAGCCAGCGCTGGTCAGTGGCCCTCCAGCGCTCTCAAGCGAATGCCCTGCACACCAAGGCCAGGGCAGGGATCGAGGCGGCGCACCCCCAGATGGCAGCAGACCCATGGCCGCTGCACCTGGGGGACATCCTCCACACACTGGAGGGGTAGAGGGTCACTGAGGGGGGAGGAGGGTCAGAGGGATGGGCCAATGGGGCAGAGGGTCTAAAGGGAACCACAAATCAAACCGTATGCTTGTACCCCCGCTGAATTAATACAAAGGACCATTTGAGAGAGAGAGAGAGTCAATGTGTGGTAAGGTGTGGAGCATAGACCCCCGCCATAGGCAGAGATAGACCCCGCCATTCAATGCTGCGTGTGAAGACGGAGTACCTGGACGCTCGGGTGATCTCATTTGACGCTGTTAACAGGTGAGCATGCAAGCACACAATATGGTGGTGAGGGTGTGCGGTGAGGGTGTGTGGTGAGGGTGTGCGGTGAGGGTGTGCGGTGAGGGTGTGCGGTGAACCATAGAGAGTCAGTGTGCATGTGGGCCTTTGTTCTCGTGGTTAGAGGCAGCGGTGCAGCATGGAGAGATCATCCGGGCTGTGCAGCCCATGAGGGCCGAGAGTGCTGACTTTCTTACTCCCCTTGTCTCCCCTTGCCTCCCCTATTCACCCGTATTCACTGCGCGCCATCGCTCTCAGGGCAAGCAAGGCATGCGGCCCTCTCTTCTCGTGGCTGGAAGCAGCAGTGCAGTATGGGGAGATCATTCGGGCCGTGCAGCCCATGAGGGCCGAGATGGAGCAGCTGGAGGGGGAGGCGGGCAGCATGGCGGAAGAGCTGCAGCACGTGCAGGTGGGTGCGAGTGTGCAGTTACCACGTTCTGGTTACCAATTTCTGGTTACCAGTGGATGCTGCATGTGGGAGAGGAATCCTGAGGGCCGTGCAGCCCATGAGGGACGAGATGGAGCAGCTGGAGGGCGAGGTGGGGAGCATGGCGGAGGAGCTTCAGCACGTGCAGGTGGGTGTGGTGGGTGTGGTGTCACGGGTCTGCTTTCTGAGTGGCAAGCTTACACCACTCTGCACCGCTCATCACTGCTCTTCACCTTCCACACCACCCCTCACTGCACTGCACCACCCTTCATTTCTTTCAGGAGTCTATTGGATCTCTAGAGACTTCATCTCTAAAGCGTGCTGAGACGAGCACTCCCTCCTGCTCTCCGCATGTGAAGCCATGCGAGACCAAATTTCTCTAAATCTCCCTTTCTTACTCCCTGTTGTCCTTCCCCCACACCAGCCTGCATCACCCTTCACCGCTCTGCACCCATCAGGAGTCCATTGGCAATCTGGAGGAGCGCATGGAAGCGTGCCGGGACAAACACTCCCTCCTCCTCTCCGCCTGCGAGGCCATGCGGGCCGACATCCCCCTAACCCTCCCTGTCTTCCTCCCTGTCTCCCTTCCCCCCAACCACCTTGCATCGCCCTTGACCGCACTGCACCACTCTTTCACCGCTCTGCACCCATCAGGAGTCCATTGGCAATCTGGAGGAGCGCATGGAAGCATGCCGGGACGAGCACTCCCTCCTCCTCTCCGCCTGTGAAGCCATGCGAGCCGACATCCACCAATCAAAGCTCGCCATGCAGCGAGCCGCCAGCCTGGTAAAAGACCTGACGTACGAGCGTGACCGTTGGATGAAGCAGCGTGAGATGCTCAAGAGCCGGGCAGCGGCGTGCTTAGGCGACGCTTTGCTAAGAGCCGCTAGTTTGGCGTACCTGGGACCGCTGGAGCTCGCGGAAAGGCAGCGGCTTTTAGCTAAGTGGCAGGAGGTGGTGGGTTCCTGCGGGTTGAAGTTTTCGAAAGGGGGTGTGTTGAGGGGTGAGGCGGGGTTGGATGCGGTTGGGGAGAGGGGAGGGGAGGGGGGTGAGGAGGGGTGGGGAGGGGTGGAGGAGGATGAGGAGGTGGAGGAGGAGCGGGCGAAATGGGAGGCGATGGGGTTACCACAGGACGAGTATGCGTTACAGAATGCGGAATCGGTGCTTAAGTGCCGGAGGGTGCCTCTACTTGTGGACCCGTCTGGAAGAATGGTTGAATTCCTTAGGAATGTTCTCTCCTGCTCCGCCCCTGCTGCTACAGCCGATTCGGCTACAGCCGGAAGCACCGAATCCGCTACAGCCGATTCTGTTACATTTGATTCTGGTGCTACAGCCGGCAATGCTCCTGGTTTGAGTGACAGCCAGGGATCCGCGGAAGTGAAGCAGGAAGGGGGAGTGGTCTGTGTGAGCGCACAGGAAGAGGAGAGTGTGTTGGCACGAGCAGCGGAAAAGGCACTCAGATTCGGCCTCCCGTTGATAATCAGAGACGTTTCACAAATGAGCTCTATTCTCTCCTCCCTCCTCCTCTCCTCCCCCTCCTCCTCCTCATCCTCCTCTCACTCCCTCCTCTCCTCTCCGCCCTCCTCGCTCTCCTCACCCACTCTCTCTCTCACTCCCTCCCTATCCAAAATCCGCCTGCTGAACCGAGAAATCAACGTTTCCCCCTCCTTCCGCCTCTTCCTTACGACCGAGTCCCTTCTCCCTCCTCTCTCCCCCTCTCTCTTATCCAAAACCGCGGTGGTAACCACCGGAATCTCGCCCTCCTGGCTGCGTCAGCACCTGCTGAGCCGCGTGATTGGCCGGGAGCGTGCTGACGTGGCTCAGCAGAGAGACCGGGCGGCAGCGCTGCAGGAGAGATGCCGAAGGAGGTTGCGACAGCTGGAAGGGAGATTGCTTGAGGTGCTGACGTCACCAGAAGAGGACGGGAAGGAAGCAGGAGGTGTGGTAACCGGGAGCGTGGCTGTCACACCTGCTCGTGCTGCTGGGAGTGGTGGTGGTACTGTCAGCAGCACCCCTCCTCCTACTTTCAGCATGTTCAGTGGATTAAAACGACCGGCAGGCATGGCAGCAACACCAACACCAACAGCAGCACACACAGCAGCAGCAGCAGCAGCAGCAGTGGCAGCACAAACGCCAGTGGGAGTCTCTCTGTCTTCCCGGGCACTTGAATCCCCGATCCCCACGCCAGCCCCTCTCCCTCCTGTAATGGACGACTCTACAGTCTCAAAAACTCTCGCTCAGATTAAAAAAGACGCAGCAGCAGTCAAGGCGAAGGCTAGAGAGGTGCGGCTGGTAATGAGACAAGTTGACACCGTCCGGACGCTGTATGCGCCGCTGGCGGACGTTGGTGCGGCGGCGTTTTTCGTCCTTTCTGGGGCGGCTGCCGCCCTGCAGCAGCCGCTGTACAGATTCTCGCTGGATTTCTTCCTGCGGGCGTTTGACGATGCGATTTTGGCTGCTAGTGGTGTATTGGGTGGAAAATCAGCAGCAGAAGCAACAGTAACAGCAACAGTAGCAGCAACAGCAGTAGGACAGGCAGATAGTGCAGTGGCTGTGAAGCCAAGAGTGCGGCAGTTGGTGGCAGCAGTACTGAGTGAGCTTATAACGAGGACAGCAGAGGCAACAGAGTACCGGCACCACCTGCCTGTGGCTCTTGCCCTATCCCGCTGCGCCAGGCTGGCAGATGACGTGGACTGGGTAGGCTTGGCTACAACCGTCTCTGCAAAATATGCTACAGGGCTGGCTATTGAAAGTGATGCTTCATCTGATGCTACAGCCTCTGCTAAATCTGCAGAAACAGGCAGAGCAGCAGGGGAGATTGAAGCTGCTGTGAAAGAGGAGCTGCAGCGTGCGACTGCTGGGACAGCTTATAGCGAGTATGAGGCCAGGAGGAGTGCTGCAATGGAGGCAGTGGTTGGGTTCGTGGAGTCAATGGCAGTCAACGCTGGTCAAACGGACATTGCTGGTAGGCAACTGGTGGAGGCAGTTATCAGTCCAGGGGGTAGCTGTGCTGCTGGCACTGCTGCTGCCAGTGTTGCTGGCGGTGCTGTTGGCGGTGCTGCTGGCGGTGGTTCTGATGCTGTTAGCAGACCAAAAGCAGCAGGGGGGAGGATCGGAATGGCACTAGAGCATCCCATGGAGCATCCTGCTGCTGCGGCTCGGTTCATGCAGGCTCGGGCTGAGCCTGCCCGCCCGATCCTGGTGGCCTGCGTCGGCAGCTGCGACCCAACCACCATGCTCACTGCTGCTGCCGCTACATCTGCTGCTACAGCCCCTGGTGCCGCTGCTACAGCCGCAGGTGCTGACAAAATTGCTGTTGCTGCCTCTGCTGCTACAGCTGCTGCAGGACCTAGGGTTGTAGCAGTGGCTATGGGATCAGACGATGCAGTGGCAGAAGCACAGAGGGCGGTGGAAGGAGGGGCGAGGGAGGGGCGGTGGGTGGTGCTATGCAATGCCCACCTGGCCCTATCAGTGCCCAGGCACGCTGCGTGGCTGCAGCTGCTGCTCAACTCGTTACAGTCACGCGCTCTGTCGGTGCCACTGCATCGTGATTTCCGGCTGGTGCTGACGGTGGAAGCAGCGGGGGCGGCTGTGAGGCTGATGCCTCCCAAGCTGGTGGAGGCGTGTGACGTTCTGGTCATGGAGGCACCGGCAGGAGTCAAGGGCAGCATGCAGGTGAGATATGTCCGCCTCGTCCCTTACTCCCTTCCTCCCTTACTGCTCTCCTCTATCCCCAGCACGTCAAAACACCCCCAAGCTGGTGGAGGCGTGTGATGTGCTGGTCATGGAAGCACCAGCAGGAGTCAAGGGCAGCATACAGGTGCGATCTCTCTCTCCTTCCACTATCAGCTTGACTCAGGTGCCTCCTCCCAAGCTGGTAGAGGCGTGTGACGTGCTGGTGATGGAAGCACCGGCAGGGGTGAAGGGCAGCATGCAGGTGAGCTCAAAGGCAGCATGCAGGTGAGCTAATCCGCACAACCCATTCCTGTCCCTCCCACTCCCTGCACCTCCCCTCCCACTCCCTGCACCTCCCCTCCCACTCCCTGCAACTCCCCTCCCGCTCCCTGCACCCGCTCCTCTATTCCTGTCCTCCCTTCTTCTTCCCTCTGGTTTCTCTTCTTTCTCTCTTCCAGAGGCAGCAGCCAGTGTAACGAGCGGCAGAAAGGGAGAAACCCGGCTGAGAAAGGGAGCAACGGATGGAAACGCTCGTCCCTTCCTCTCACACCCGCTCCCCACACTCCCCGTTTATCCTTTCCCCCTACTGAGATCTTTAGATTCAATTCTCTATCTCTTGCTCTCTCGTACCGATGCTCAACCCACTCCGGCCTCATCCACTCCCCTTCTCTTTCCCTCCCCCCTGCAGAGATCTCTGGATTCCATTCTCTCGCTCTCGGCCAGAGGTAGCAGCCAGTGGAGCGAGCAGCAGGGAAAGAGAAACCCGGAGGAAGAAGCAGAGAGGGGCAGCGGGCGGAGTGGGGTTGCTGTGGAAAAGAGGCGGCAGGGGAAGCAGCAGCAGCAGATGCTGCAAGTGCGAGGGGGAGATGAGCAGGAGGAGGGGGAGGAGAGGCAGAGGCGGAGGCAGATGCTGCGGGTGCGAGTGGGAATGGCATGGGTTCATGCAGTGCTGCAGGAGCGAGTGCACTACGTGCCCCGGGGGTGGCTGTGCCCTTACACCTTCATGGATCATGTGAGTGTGGCTTGATGTGTGGCTTGGAGTGCGGGTGGGCCTGGGTTGATGACTGTACCTGTGGTGTCGGGGCCTTGAGTGGGGCACCAGGTAGTGGGTGCATGCGGTGTTGCAGGAGCGAGGGCACTACGTGCCCCGGGGGTGGCTGTGCCCTTACACCTTCATGGACCATGTAAGTGGATATGACTGTCATTATGGGGGTATTTCGAGTGGGACACCAGGTAATGGGTGCATGCGGTGCTATAGGAGGAAATGCACTATGTGCCCCGGGGGTGGCTGTGCCCTTCACCCTTTGTCACCCTTTGTCATCCCCTCCCACCCCTTCCCACCCCTTCAAGGATCTCACCTGGGCGCTCTCCCTGCTCCAAGCCAGGCAAGCAGACAGCCCTGTCAACCTGACGCCCCTCAACTGCCTACCAGCAGTGCGAACCCTGCTACTCGACATAGCCTATGTACTCAAGATGGAGTCCCCTGCAGACCACCACTTGATTTTACACCTTGTCACCGATTCTCACCTCTTCTCGCCGTTTCCCACCCCTTTCCACCCTTTTCCACACCTACAGGACCTCACTTGGGCTCTATCCCTGCTGCAGGCATGGCAAGCAGACAGCCCCACCAGCCTAACACCCGTCAACTGCCTGCCAGCAGTGCAAACGCTCCTCCTAGACATTGCCTACGGGCTCAAGATGGAGTCCCCTGCAGACCATGCCACTCTCTCTCGCATCGTCTCGCATGTGTTTGGCGATCCCAAGGCGTTTTTCGCGCCACGATTCGCCCTCTCTCTCGCTCCTGCTGCTCCTGGTGGTGGTGCGGCTGCTGGTGATGCGGTAATCAGCGTGTCGGCGTTACTCAACTTACTGGATGAGGACAGTGAGGAGGCGTATACCAGCTGGGTCCAATCACTGCCTGCCACATGTCCACCTGAGTGGCTGGGGCTGAAGGCTGGGGAGGATAGTGTTAGGTATGCCAAGGAGAGTGCGCAAGTGCTCAAAGCCACGCTTGGATTAATGGGAGGAAGCTCAGCTCAATAAGGAGGATGGGGTGTTAAGGTTACTCATGCAAAATGGGACTTTCTGATTTGATGGAGTGCAACATCCAACTACATTGTTGTCCCTAGTTTAAGTATGTGCAGTGTAGAAGCCATGTTGCCAGCTTTGGTGCTGATTTTGTTTGTGACTTTCCATGTTAAGCAATGCCATTCATGTTAGGAACCTTAAGAATAATTGCTTTATTAGAGTAAGGATCTTGGATAGGATATGATTGCTTTAGAGAGTTTGGTACCGGAAGACCTGTAGTAGGAACCTTGTGCATAGTGGATGTAAATGACAAAGTTGATTAAAAGCATAGATTACACACAAACAAATAGTCTTAACTAGCCATGCACTCTAAGAGGTACATTCCATTTTTCTAACTGTTTTACAGGCAGTTCTACAGCAACTCTGACTGTTGCTCTGCTTCTTGTTACCGAGTCGCTGCGTGTAACCGTACAGACGGTTACGCCTGTTGCCATTCCTCGATGGTGAGTCAATCGGTCCAGATGGTCAACAGTCGCGACAGTTGACCTTTGCGTTGCGACCGTTGACCTTTGCGACTGTTGACCTTTGCGACCGTTGACCTTTGCGACTGTTGACCTTCCTGCCCATGTTATAGGCTGATCCGATACTGCTGCAGGCGCTGCTTCGATAATGACGGGTGCGATACAGCTGCACCTACGGGAATGTTAAACCCAATTCCCTTCATACTCCAACACTGTTAGGAACCTTATGTCAAAACTGTTATAGTGCTTACTTTGTGTAGGCTGTAGTGGGGTATGTTAGAATCCTAGCGTGACTTAGGAGCCATGGCTAGTGAGTGTCGAGAGAGTTGAGTGTCGAGAGAATTGGAAAGGAGAATGTCGAGAGGAAATGATTTCACTCGCAAGAGTTGGGATACAAATGCAAAACCCTAAATTGGGTTGTACTCACTACAGAGTACCCCACTGCAGGCTAGACAGCAATTACATTCTGACACACCCCCATAGTCAAAGTGGGGTATAATCAGCAGAGCAAGCAGTCATAGAGCAGGTTCACAAATACAAGCAAAGCTAGAGGCATACACAAAGGGCAAGTGAGGAGGAGGCTGGATTGTGAGAGGAGAGGAGACAGGAGGCGACTGCTGATGCTGCAGACACACGGGCAACAGGAGCGGCGCGCACTGTGGCTACCGGAGCCGTTTCCCCAGACTACAGGAGTAACTGGCTCTGCGGCTAACTCTGAGCGGCAGGAGCAACGGACCCACAGGCGACAGGCGCAGCAGGCTCTCTGAGCTACCAGAAGCAGAGCCCCGGACTACAGGTGCTGCGGACGACAAGACGGCAGCCTCCGCTCAACCTCCCCCAACTGTCCCACCCCCCTTACACACACCCCTTGCTGCACCCCTAGCTCCACTCCCATGTCACCCCCCTAGCACCACTCCCTCGGCTCCCACACACCCACCCCCCTCAGCGACAGCTGCAGCAGTGGGAGACGGAGGAGGAGGAGGAGGAGCAGGGGACGGTTCACACACCCACCACCCCCATACCCACCACCCCGCAGTTGCACCCACACCCGCCACCCCCACACCCTCCCCCCACTGCTGCACCTGCAGCAGGGGATGGAGGAGAAGGGGGGGGGCGGGGGGGGGGCGGGGGGGGGGGGCTGGTGCTGCAGCAAGGGCTGTAGCGGCAACAGCAAGGGCTGTAGCGGCAGCAGCAGGGCAGCAGGGCAGCAGAGCGCATGGCGCGCAGCAGGGCTGCAGGACGCGCGGGGCGCGCAGGGCACGCAGGGCAGCAGGACAGCAAGGCGCGCGGGGCGCGCATGGCTGCAGGGCGCGCGGGGCGCACAGGGCAGCAGGGCAGCAGGGCGCACAGGGCTGCAGGGCAGCAGGGCGCACAGGGCTGCAGGGCAGCAGGGCGCGCGGGGCGCACAGGGCTGCAGGGCGCGCGGGGCGCACAGGGCAGCAGGGCAGCAGGGCGCGCAGGGTACACAGGGCAGCAGGGAGAGAGAGAGGAGAAGGGGGGGGGGGGGGGGGCTGATGCTGCAAATCCCCTCCCCCCCACTGCTGCTCCACAATCCTTCACCCCCCAGGGATGGAGGAGAAAAGGGGGGCGGGGGGGGCTGGTGCTGCAGATCCCCTCCTGCCTCCCCCTGAACCTCCAAGCTCCTCCCCCCCTCCCAACACAAGGTGCGGCAGGGAGAGAGAGAGGAGAAGGGGGGGCGGGGGGGGGCTGATGCTGGAAATCCCCTCCCCCTCACTGCTGCTCCACTATCCGTCACCCCCCAAAAAGTAAGGAGAAGGGGGGGGATGGGGGGGGTTGGTGCTGCAGATCCCCTCCCCCCCACTGCTGCTCCACAATCCTTCACCCCCCAGGGATGGAGGAGAAAGGGGGGGCGGGGGGGGGCTAGTGCTGCAGATCCCCTCCTGCCTCCCCCTGAACCTCCAAGCTCCTCCCCCCCTCCCAACACAAGGTGCGGCAGGGAGAGAGAGAGGAGGAGGCGTGGCGGCAGCTGCTGCTGCTGAGGCACATCCGCCACCCCCTCACACCCTCTCCCCGCCGTCCCCATGGAGGGGGGGGGAGGGGGGGGAGTGGGGCGGGGGCGGAGCTGCGCGTGCGACTGTAGGGCACGCGGGCAGGAAGAACCCCCTCTTGCCACCCCCTCACCCACCATTTTGCAACAGGGCACCTGGGCCGCGGTTAGGGGCGGCAGGTCGCGAGAGGCCATGGCTAGGGGCGACGGGGCCATGGCTAGGGACGGGGCCGGGCACTGGGCAGGTACGGGGCCGGGCGCTGGGCTAGGGACGGGGCCAGGCGCTGGGCAGGTACGGGGCCGGGCGCGGGCTAGGTACGGGGCCGGGCGCTGGGCTAGGTACGGGCCGGGCACGGGCTAGGTACGGGGCCGGGCGCTGGGCGAGGGACGGGGCCGGGCGCTGGGCGAGGGACGGGGCCAGGCGCTGGGCTAGGTACGGGCCGGGCGCGGGCTAGGTACGGGGCCGGGCGCTGGGCGAGGGACGGGGCCGGGCGCTGGGCAGGTACGGGGCCGGGCGCGGGCTAGGTAGGGGGCCGGGCGCTGGGCTAGGTACTGGCCGGGCGCTGGGCGAGGTACGGGGCCAGGCGCGGGCTAGGTACGTGCCGGTCGCGGGCGAGGTACGGGGCCGGGCGCTGGCGAGGTACGGGGCCGGGCGCTGGGCTAGGTACGGGCCGGGCGCTGGGCTAGGTACGGGCCGGGCGCGGGCGAGGTACGGGACCAGGCGCTGGCGAGGGACGGGGCCGGGCGCGGGGCTAGGTACGGGCCGGGCGCGGGCGAAAGACGAGGCCAGGCGCAGGCGTAAGACAGGGCCGGGCGCGAGCGTAAGACGGGGCCGGGCGCGGGCTAGGTACGGGCCTGTCGCAGGCTAGGTACGGGCCGGGCGCGGGGCTAGGAACGGGCCGATCGCGGACTAGGTACGGGCCGGGCGCGGGCGCGAGACGGGGCCGGGCGCGGGGCGACAGAGTCGACGGGGCCAGCGGGGCCGAGGGGCACAGCTAGGGGCGACGGGGCCAAGGGGCCGAGCCTAGGGGCGACGCCAAGGGGCGACGGGCCGGGGCCTAGGCTAGCAGGGCATTAGGTGGTGGGCCCATTAATGTGAGGTCCTAGGAACTATTGCTCTTAATACCATGTTAGAATCCTAGCGTGACTTAGGAGCCATGGCTAGTGAGTGTCGAGAGAGTTGAGTGTCGAGAGAATTGGAAATGAGAATGTCCAGAGGAAATGATTTCACTAGCAAGAGTTGGGATACAAATACAAAACCCTAAATTGGGTTGTACTCACTACAGAGTACCCCACTGTAGGCTAGACAGCAAATACATTCTGACAGGGTAGCCCATAAGGAGTACAACCCAATTAGGGTTAGTAGTTGTACCCAACTTCTGTTCAATCCAATCATTTTCTCGTCCTATAGTTTGACATGGTTTCAGAGCAGGTCATTCCCTAGGACCGACTTTTTTTTTTTAGGGCCCACCACAGAGCTGCCCCACTAGCTGCCCTGCCGCCCTGCCCCAACAGCGCGCCGCCCTGCTGGCCGCTGTGCCGCCCTTTGCAGCCCGTCGCGCCGCCCTTAGCAGCCCGCGAGCCGCCCCTGCAGCCCGCTCGCCGCCAACTTGCGGCCCGCTTGCCGCCCTTGCGGCCCGCTCGCCGCCCGCGTGCGGCCTGCTCGCCGCCCTTGCAGCCCGCTCGTCGCCCGCTCGCCACCCCTGCAGCCCGCTCGCCGCTCGCCGCCCTTGCGGCCCGCTCGCCGTCCACTTGCGGTCCGCCAGACGCCCCTTGCAGCCTGCGCGCCGCCCCTTGCAGCCCGCTTGCCACCCCTTGCGGCCCGCTCGCCACCCCTTGCAGCCCGCACGCCGTCCGCTGGCAGCCCACTTGCTGCCCCTTTGCAGCCCGCTCGCCGCCCTCTGGCAGCCCGCTCGCCACCCTTTGCAGCCCTCGCGCCGCCCTCTGGCAGCCCGATCGCCGCACTTTTGCAGCTTGCCCGCCGCCCCTTTGCAGCCCGCGTGCCCGCCCGGCTGCTGACAGCCCTGCTGTGCACCGCCCTGCTGGCCGCCCTAGCTGTGCGCCGCCCTGCCCTGCCCTGCGCGCTTCCCTTGTGCTCGCGCGCCGCCCTGCCTGCGTGCTGTTCTGCTGGTAGCGCGCCACCCTGCTCTGTCCGCTATGGCTTCTCTAAGTGTACTCACCTTCGATCATGAGGGCCGTCCGATCCAATTCGATACGTGGCTTGACGACTTACAGCTGTACCTACTGAGCGATTCTAGAGACAGCGTTTCGTTGTTTGACCACACGTCTGGAGCCTCTCTCGCCCCTCCCGCCACAGCTGACAGTGCGACTCGCTCACTGTGGCTTACGCGTGATGCTGCTGCTCGCTTAGCCGTGTTGGTGCAACCCTACCTATAGCATGACACCTCGCCCGGACTTGCTCACCGAACTCGAGCCGTCACCGGTGAAGCATGTCACATCGGCTTTGGGGCAGCGAGCAGAGGTGAAAGGCATGGGCAAGGCCATGTTCAAGGGTGCTGATGGGAAGATGGTGGGCCTCAAGAACGTGGTTTGGGTGCCCAGCCTTGCTGCAAACCTGATTTCCGTGCGGCGGTTGGCAAAGGCCGGCATGGACACGAACTCGAAGGGAGCCAAGACCTACACCGCAAGGCTTGGCGATCGAATTCTTTGGGACCTTCATGAGGACAGGGATGTCTACAACGAGATGTGGCAGATCCCAGTGGTCCCTATGCCTAAGGAGAGGCAAGTGGCAGCAAGCATCAGCACCCAAGGATGGAGCGGTCGGTAGCGACGATGGCGCGAACGGTCGCGCTAAGGAGAATGAGCTCAAGAAGAGCAAACCTGGAGGGACCAGCAAGTTCAGTGAACCTAAGGAGAGTGGTGCAGCAACCAAGGAGCAGCAAAAGGGTGAGGAGAACCCAGAGGCAGCAGCGGAGGAGGACTACGGAGAGAGTATGTGGGGCGCTATTGCGAGCGCGGCATTCTCCAATCCAACTTCGGCTACGGGGGAGTGTGATTGGCTCACCTTGCATCGGCGCATGGGGCATGTGGCCCTGCCCACCTTGCAGCAGCTAGTGAAGAATGAGATGGTTGCTGGCATACGTGTGAAGGGGGAGCCCGATGAGGTGCTTGGCTGCCCGACGTGCATTCAAGCCAAGTTCACCCGGTTTCCGTTCCCTAGTTCGGAGGCAACGGCAAAGGCACCGCTTGATGAGGTGGTGATGGACGTGGTGGCCCCCCTGAAGCTTGGAGCTGCTGGAGCTGAGTATTTTCTCACCATTGTCGACGTCTACACCCGCATGACTTGGGTGTACGTGCTGGCCAAGAAGAGCGACGTGGCTGAAACGTTGAAGACGGATTGGTTCCCGATGGTGGAGCGGCAACAAGATCGTCTAGTCAAGTCAATCCGCACCGATCGAGGGGGATAGTTCCTGAGCAAGGAGTTTGGGTTGTGGCTGAAGAAGAATGGTATTCGGCACTCCCTCACCATGCCATACTCCCCTGCAATGAACGGCATCGCCGAGCGAGCGAACCGCACAATCACGGAGGCGGCACGCGGGTTGCTCATTGAAGCCGGGCTACCCGACTATTTCTGGCCTGATGCGGTGCGGAGCGCGTGTGTGGCCAAGAACAGAGCCTTGACTCATGTGGGAGCAGACAAATGGGTGCCCTATGTGGAGTGGCTAGGAAGGAAGCCAAAGGTGGATATGCTTCGGGTGTTCGGGTGCATGTGCATGGCGCTCGTGCCTAAGCATCTTCGGCACAACAAGCTTGGTGCCAAGGCGGTGTGGGCCGTGCACTTGGGCATGGCTCAAAACAGCAAGGGATGGCTTCTTTGGGACCCATTCACCAAGAAGTTCTTGGTGAGCAGGGACTGCAAGTTCATGGAGAACTTCATGTACAAGGATTGGAAGGCGGAGAATGAGGCGAAGATAGGCGTGCGGTTTGGGGAGGTGAAGAGTTCCGGTTTGGAGCATGTGGAGCTGCCTTTGGAGCTGAGCAGCGGCAGCACAACCACAAGGCAATCCTCCCTTGTGAATGGGGGAGAGGAGGCCAATGATGCAGAGGAAGAAGAGGAGGAGGTGCAGCAAGTGAGCGAGCGTGCACCGTCACTTCCTTCCCGTACTACGAGTGCTCCACGGATTCGAGCCACACCGCAGCAACGCCAAGGCCTTCAAGTCCCTGCAGCTGAGGAGGAAGGAAGGGGGAAGAGGAGAGTTCAACCCCCTAATAGGCTGACCTATGATGCGCCGGGAAAGCAGGGCAAGACAGCCCTGGCCGGAGCGGCAATGATGGTCGGAGACGACGAGGAGAGTGACTACGAGGAGTGTGCCTTCGCGTTCTTCTCTCCGATGGAGATGCCGGGAGAACCAGCAACTCTCAAGGAGGCTTTGGAGAGTAGTGATGCTGAGGAGTGGAAGAAGGCCATGGAGAGTGAGCTGAAGAGCATCGAGGAGAATGACACGTTTGAATTGGTGGAGCTACCGGAGGGGCGTACGGCGATAACGTCCAAGTGGCTCTTCAAAATCAAGTCGGATGCCGACGGCAAGATCGAGCGCTACAAGTCTAGGCTTGTAGCCAAGGGGTACCAGCAGAAGGAGAAGGTGGACTTCAAGGAGCTGTTTGCCCCTGTGGTGAAGCCGACGACGCTGCGAACCCTATTCGCGGGAGCCGCCATCAAAGGATGGGTAGTAAAGCAAATGGACATCGTAACGGCATTCCTTAACGGCATCCTTGAGGAGGAGATTTTTATGGCGCAGCCAGAGGGGTTTGATGATGGTAGTGGCAGAGTGTGGAAGCTGAAGAAGGCCCTCTATGGGCTGAAGCAGGCCCCTAGGCAATGGTACATGAAGCTGCGCGAAGTGTTGGAGGGGATC